GGAGTGAAACATCCTTCATATTATTCTTAACTTTAGAAAAATGTTTTAAGCGCCTCACCTTCTTTTTGTCACATTAAACCGAGCGATCAATTGAGGTCTTACATCACCCTCCTCGATCAAACTCCCCTTTAAGCTCAGACAATAATGAACCACTCAGTAATTGACAGAGAGGACAGAGCTCCTATACGGGTAATTTAGCGGTAATATAAGGGATTACTGACAAGAATGACAATTAGAAGTGACCCCTCACAGTTTCCAAGAACAAAGGTTCGAGAAGAGAAAACTGCAGTTAGGTGAAGGTTTTCTGTATATACACTGATTCACCCACACACAGGAAAAAAACACTCCAAGACTCTTCTTGTTAAGCTCTTCGTCTTGAGTGCATCAAACGGTCTATTTTCAATGTTTCCTCTAACTTCACCTCAAACAAAAAACAAAAAAACACTGTGGAATGATTTTGGACATGACTTAATCTCTTTTTCAGATTGACCCATTTTATGAAATTAACAGTGCCAGAGCCGGTACTTATGCTGCGTTCTAGTTACCTTGGAAGTTGGATGTCAGAGCTGGGAGCGACGTTACATCTGAGTTGACGGCGTTCCAGTAAACAAGTCGAAAAACTAAGTTGGACGTCTACTGCTAGCCGTAGTTACCTGTTGTTAACAATTGTCAGCTGTCGTTAGCTGTTGTCAGTTGTTGTTTGCGGTTGCCAGCTGTTGTTAGTTGTTGTTAGCTATACCAGTTGTAAACAACGCATTACAGTATTTTACTCTTACAAACACCATAGCACCATGTTCACAGTTAGATGTTGGACAATACAACGTACACCACTTATTTAATTTCACAAAAAAAAGACAGAAGTTAGGACTGGGTGATATGGCCTCAAATCAATATCATGATATATTGGATATATTGATCAGTTCACGATATAACGATAAATGGACGATAACTACTCCACAAGCTGCTCACCCCCTCCCACATTAACTTCTTCTACTTCAGCCGCTACAACTTTTGAACCGTCCTCCATCTTCTCACCTGTCTTTTCTTCTTTGTAATGGACTAGATGGGGTGGAGTCACGTCTCTGATGTAGGACAGTGTCTTAATAGGACATGAGACCATAGTCTACCTACACACATCCAAAAACAACTTTTATTTGTTTATTTTTTTGACACAGAATATACCGATATGGGCAAAATGACGTCGGTTATTGTCGTAAATGTTGGTATTGGTAAATGTTCTGTTTATCGCCCAGCCCTAGTAGAAGTGCTAATAAATAATACATTCAGAGAGCTTTCAGTGTCACTCTTTACTGTTGATGCACTGCGCTGCCATCTTGGATTGTGACGTTGTCGTCAAGTCGGGGTTGGTGAGGATCATCTGGCATTCCAGATGAATTTCCAACTTGGAGCTCAGAAATCCCGGCTTTTGAGTACAAAAGAACTTGTTTCAGTTTGACATGGCCTCTTAAAACCGTGAATACCTGCTGGAGTAGACTACATACTTTGGTTTAAAATGAAAATTCTTGTCTGACAGGATTGTGATCTGTAGCTTCAGGTCACTATACAACTGCAAAACATATTGATGCAGTTCCTCATATGTGGTGTTTAATTTTAATCCAAAATGCAATCCTGGTTTTTGTCGCCCTGATCGACCAACGACTCCGTTTGCAGATTGGACTGGATTCAGCTGCCTTGCTCCGTTGATTCCCACCAGTTGTTTCCAAGCTAATTCCTTATAAGAATAACTGAACCTGCAAGACTCAGGCAGGCTCTGTAAAGCAAGCTGCTTTAGGCTGGAATAACATTGTCTTGCCAGCCTAAGCCACCAAGTAGAACTGCATCTCAGCTAAGTATCCCACCTCTTCTGAGTGAGACAGAAGAGAGCGACTGTGAAACTCTGTTTTTCCTCTGCAGCATCCCGTGTTTATTAAGACCGTCTGCATCAACTGAACAAATAAGCTGCTCTGCCGGGATTGTTGATTCCTAGTACAATAGATGATTAGACACAACAAATTCAAACTTGATTAACAGATTGTCAGATTGTTTGAAAAATTAAGACAAAGAAAGCCTTTTCTGTGTATTTAATGAACTTCTTTCTAAAATCTTGTAGTGCTTGCTTGAGTGTTGTGTTGTTGTACTACATCTCTTCTTATAACACATACAGTATCCACACTCTGAAGCATCATAAGCCATATGTTAGGCTGTGACTCAAATCAACCCCTGTAAAAGTAATGATGGGCCGTTCGTGACGTGCATGAAAACTGTTGCGCGCCGCACTCATTTACAAGCGAGTAGTTCAGCCGGTCATAACTCAGCCATTTTGTGAGGGACAGTGCAGAGGATGAGGTCAGACCGTAGACGCTGCTCACCGGCTGATAATAGCTGATAGTTTCGAGTGGTCTTCAGAGTGGGCCCGGGGAAAAAAAAACCCTGATTGCATTCATATTTAGACGGTACACCAGGAACTGATCAAGAGCTTTCTCTCTACCTCTGAATGAGGCGGCACTCTGCTCAGAGCCTGTCTCTATCAATTGCAGATGACTCAACAAGCATCGAGTCTTTCTCCCACAAATGAGGAGCGAATGAGGAAATAAAATATGTAGTTGTGGCCCTACTTACACTTTATAGCGACGGATGTCTCTACCCCTGTTATACAAGTTTGCATATTTGCATCAGAGTATAAGCTGCCATACTTTTCCTATAATTTCCCTCTACATGTGTGTCTGGTGAAATGTAACAGCTATTTTCTGCTGTATTAATAAATGTCAGTAATGTTGGACGCTGACTTAATGCACTGCTGAATCGGTGACTTGACCTAAGACCCCGACGCCACACATCAGCTCATATTAAGACAACACAGCCGGAGCACTGAGCTACAGCCTGACTTTGATGGACATGAAGTCGTTATCTCTGTTGGTTGCCACTAATCATATGCCTCCATAGAGTAATGGCTCAGGTCACAAAAATGACAGATTTTCAAGGGCAAACCTCGCCTGGCATTTCTGTTTCAAACAAATAAGTCAGCCGGTGTGAAAGCCGTCATGCAGACAAACAGCAGCGTGCCTGAGATGTGAAAAGGTCCTGTGTGCTGCTGCGGCTTCATAAAGTCGATAAATACATTTGTGAGCACCTTAATGATTACACAAGCGAGAACATTGTCATGCAGCAGAAGGAACCCGGGGTCTCCTGCACCAGCACATGGTCTGACAATGGGTCTGAGGATCTAGCTAACTTGTGGAGGTCTGTGCGGCCCTCTGAGGACCACCACTGACCCTCTGCCAAACTTGTCATGCTGGAGCAGAATGTCCTTCACATCGTCTCCAGACCCCTCAATGTCTCTCACTTGTGGTCAATACGAACTGAAGAAAACGGCACCGATCGCCAGTCTGCCAATTCTGGTGTTCTCTGGCAGATGTCAGTGGGGCTGCATGGTCAGCTTCTGCATGGTGCTGGGCTGTGAGTGTGAGCACAGGCCCCACTTGTGAATTTGGGGCCCTCATGCCACCCTCACAGAGTCGGTTTCTGACAGTTTGGTACAGAGCATGTGCTGGTGTGGCCTGCAGGAGGTCATATTTCCAGAGTTCTGGGTTGCTGCTGGGTTGTTGCACTCCTACAGCCTCCTCCACCTCTCTCTTGGCATACTGGTCTGTCTCCTGGTATCTTCTCCACGCTCTTCACATTTTGCTGTGAAACACAGAAAACCTTCTGGCCACCGTACATATGGATGTGCCGTCCTGGAGGAAACTTCTGTAGCCTGCAGATACCAACACGACTTTCACCCTCTCCTATCCACTTGTTGTCTGTCTCATTTGCACATCAGCGGGTGAAACTGATTCACAATCATTACTGCTTCCTGAGTGGACAGGTCGATACCCCAGAGGTGTGATTGACTTGGAGTTACACTGTGATAATTATGTGATCCCTTTATTTTTGTTTTGATATCCGAAAATCTTTTAAACTGGAGATTCTGCTGTACGGTGGACAAACATCTCGAATACCCCAGAGTTTATTACCTTCTGGAGTAAATGTATACTCAGAGTTATCAAATGCATTTTGTCTCAAACAACCAGAAATTTTAGCTTAAACTGCAGTAATCGGTGCCGTTATCGGATAAACTCACTGTTTTATTCCTTCTTTTTCCTTCCTTACAGTCTTTTTTCCCCCCAGTTCTCCTGCAGAAAGAAAATAGTACAATTTGAAATAATTACCTTCTTGTCCTTGTTGCCATGTCTCCAACACTCTTCGCAACCATTTCAGGTCATTGTCATTCACTGCAGTGGTCTTCTCATCTGCATGGTGGTAGCCCTTCTGCAAGCACAAGGACATGAAATTGGACCACAGCAGGGAGCTAAATGTGCCTTCAGTCTCAACAATCCTTTTAATCTTTCATCAATCATGTGGAAGCAGCTCAGAGCCCTGATCCCGATTGAGGGGAAGAGTTCAGAATTGACAAGCATGAGAACAGCAGTAAAAGTTTTGCCACGCAGGAAAGTTGTGATGGAAGCCTGGTTCAGCTTGGCAATTTGATGAGAAAATCCTAAATCTTGATTGCTGAAATTGAAAGCAAACAAACAGTTGGGAGTGGTATTTCACTTGCAGTCAGCTCAAGGATCTTGAGAGAACATAAAAAACGGAGAGGCTTCCAAAAATTGTTTTCTTCAGCTGCACTGAGTGTGGCAATCACCGCGGCTGTAAGGCCAAATGAAACGCCAACCTTAAACAGAGTCTGAGTTCAAGGAGTCTGCGCAGGCCAGGTTTGTCTTGAGTGGCTATTTTAAGAATAAAGCAGAGAATAAAGAGCAATTTATCAGAACTCAAAGTTTCTCCAGTTATTAAGCAAACATTTTGGGTCTGAAGGTGCTCCAAAATAAAGACCAATGAGCTGGAACTGTGATTTAAAGTCAATAAAGTTGTTTTATCACTGAGGCGATGGAGCTGCACTGCAGTGAGCACTACATCACACACTACTTGCCTTAAGTTTATAGGAGGAAATCGAAATAATGTTCTTTATCTTAGTTCTTATAGTGAAGCAGTACATGTATGAAATTCCCAGGTGAGTCAGTCCAAGGAGGACATTGTAACTGTCAAAACAGTTCACAGGACTCATTTCTAATTGAACCAAGTGGTCACACACTGATAATTTTCTTCTTTATGAGCTGTTGTAATGTGACTCATAGTTTCAAGTCAAGTTAATTTTCTGTTTTAAGGGTAAAAAAAAAAAACTGAACAGTTGTGGTTTCTGGTTTTGAAGCTAAATTACTGTATCGACCCAAATTTAAGATTCCTTTTTTTCTTAAAGTACTGATAAAAAGTGAACAAATTTGCTCAAAAGTAGGAAAAGTTTTGAAGTTATGAAGCCATTTTTTAAAGTAAAAGGTTATCAGTTCAGCAGAGGAATGAAACAAATGTCTAACAGCCAAGAAATATGGTATCAGTGCCCCAAGTCTGGTCTAAAAACTGCAAACGGACTGAGGTCTGCAACAGTAAAATACTCAAAGATACTGACCTACAAATCTGTCTGCTGCGTCAAGAGCATATTACAGTTTTTATTATCCTTATGCTGTTATTAGCATTAATGTTCACAAACGGTATAGCAGCCATTTAGGGCTGCACGATTAATCGATTTCAAATTGTAATCAGATTATTTGATTATGATGATGTTATGACGATGTTATGACGATGTTATGATGAAATCGATTTTCCTTTCTATAATGTTTCCTCTCCCCAGTTCCCACACACACCAGTGTTAACAAACATGGTGTTTGCAAAAGAAGGCGTTAATTTCGTAGCTAAATAGGACAAGAGCAAGTAAACGCTAAAGTTTTTTGTCGTATCGGCATTTCACCCACATGGAAACGGCGTTTCGGGTGACAGTAAACTGTACTTTTTGAAAATGGGTCCAAGAGTGCATAAATCCATAAACAACAACCATTTCATCTCCGTGTGGATGTCTATCTGCATCTCGGGAAACGATCATGTGACCCACAGCGTAACTCTTTTATGGCACCTGAGCGCGTCCGGCCAAAACAACCTTTATACACATGCTCTGTACTCTTCTTCTGTCTTTTGAGCACCGTTACAGCGCCACTTACTGGCTTGGCATATGCACTATACCGTTTTCAGTGGTTTCGTTTTGAGAGATGATAGAAAAACTTTTTAAAGTTTGGTGAAGTTGTCACTGGATAAAAAATCAAAATCGTCAAAACCGTGCAGCCCTACAGCCATTATAGTTTTACTACTAAATGTGGATTAGGACAGTGAAACATTCATATCAATGTGATTGGTGTTTTTCATGAAACTGATAGGAGATGCATCATGAAGCTTGTAATATAACCGTTTTATTGTAACCATTACATGTTAAAATCGAAGCTAATATGTTGACCAGACATATCTGAGGCCCCAAATCATAAGTTAAGAAATATGAAAATATGTAAGGAGAAGTGGTTTAAAAGAGGAAGCTTGTTCTTGCCTCCTGTTTAGTTTTTTGTATATAAATAATCAAATAGTTAAATCTACAAACTTATGTGTGATGAGATCTTCTTTTCCTCTGTGAGTCTGCATTATGGTTTCGAGCTGTGAGGCCTTTGATAGCTATCTTATCCAAAAATAATAATAATTTCAGCCCTGTGGAAGATCTAATTTCAAAGCACAAGTGCCTCTAAAAATACGCCGCCTTGCCAGACAACATGTTATACAACCAAATGTCGCTCATTCCCCACCAGAGTGGAGAATCCCACACACACTTTGCTGGTGTTTTCAAATGATTTCCTCTGTTCATTAACAAAGAAAGAGGACTGTGAACGGGAGGAAAAAGACAGGGAGTGGGGGTACAGCATAACCAAGCATTCCCTAATTAGGAGTTTTATGGGGCATATAATTTGAGTTACAGCACTGAGCCTCCATTCAGAAGCAAACACACTTTTTTTTTCATTATACAAGAGCACAAAGCTGCAGTCTGAAAACTCTCAAGTTTAGAGCTGGGGGAACACTTCATGAACAGACTGAGATTGTCACGGTACTATTGATCAACTTTCAAACTTTTCATTTTTCAAGTTGTTCCCAGACGGATAATCCTCACAACACTTTGAATATAACTGATCTTTTACCTGAAATGGATCTAATGCTGTTGTTCTTCTTTGACACTTTTTACAGCATGATCTTATTATGACAGCGATAATGAGAGAACGCATCTGCGCTCATCACCGTTACATAAATGTCACTTCTCCGAGCAGACAATGTACTTCCATCTGGAGACATGCTGAAGAAAACAGCTGTACAGTTATGAAATGAGTACATTAGTTAACGTTTTCTCGCTTGTACTTTAATTAAGTTTATTGTTACGCTTCTATTCATACACTTGGTCTTAAATGATCTTTTTTTCTTTGAGTTTTCATAGCCTCAGGTGGAACGGCTCTGGCTACTGCGGCTCTAAGTGCCAACAGGCCATTCTCCAGACTCCCACAGTCAGTACATTTTGCAGCCATAATGACTTAACTACAGAAACTAATGGAGATATGGACTTAATTTCAGATCCTGGGGGGAAGTGAAACAATAAATTAGAAATGAAGTGACAGGAATAATGTTCAGTGTTGGCAAGGCTCTGCACTCTTGTCCCTTAAGTTTCTGCTGCGGCTAGTTTATAACTCTTACATGCAGGATTGCTTGACATCTGCCATTGTTGTTGCGGTTATCTCGCGGTTTTATTATATATTTCTCATTAATTTTTCTTTTAATATTAAATTAAACCCAGAAGGAGAACTAGTCTGTCGTCTTTGGGGCAGTAGAAACAGATTGTGAACACCTCACATAATACTACCTTGTTTTTAAACTGTTAATTTGACAAAATAATTTGTTCTTCGTTTATTTTCACAAGGCTCATCGAAGTCCAACTTTGTCTTTTGGTTCTGATTTTGTTCTCTGCCAACTCCTGAGGGAAATCTCCCCGTCTATTTATCCACTAAATGCTTCCTTGTTTTGGCCACCTTGAAAGTGAAATCTTCCCATGGAGCGACGAAACCAGAGAGAGTGAAAACAAACAGGAAAGTGGTTGACCAGACGGTCACACAATAAGCTAAAGCTTAAGCCAGAAGGAGCTCCAAAATCCTGGATCATAACAAAAACAAGCTTTTACAGTGACAGTCTGTCATTAAAATATTATTCTAACATTGAAGATTGAAAACACTAATAGTTATTAAACTTGTTGTATTAAATGGTGATACTGTTGAATGATAATGGCCACATTTCAGGGTCTAAATTATTATTTTGTTGATGATTAATCTTATTAGAGACTAACTCTCTGAGCTCTAACCTGTATTGATTTATTTTCCACACATACATGAAAACCGGTGCATAAGCAGTGAATTATATATAGCCCACCACCTGCAAACACGCGCCTGAATGCAGCTCCTCAAAGCGGCCCCTCTTCTCCTGTTGCCCGGGTTAACAAAAAATCTCACATTCCCACAATGACACGTCCACACCAAGCCAGTCTCCAGTTTTACATTTGAAAGCATATTTAACTTTTCACTCCTCCATTCACAGCCTGTGAGCAGTAAGACTCTGTGCCTAGCCAAGATTAGCTTTTGGCAGACAATGCAGTGAATTAAAGGCCACACATGGCCCCTCTCTTGTTCTCAGGGTGACCAAACACACTTCCAGGGCCAGGAACTCTTGACCAGTCTTTGTAACCCACAGGGAGAAACTAGGAGTCGGAGATAAGTATATGGCAATGGATTTAGGATCAGAACTTGGCGAGACAAAAGTGTTGTCAGATGGAACAAGACAGATGGTCTTTTCCCTCGCTAACCTACCAAACTTTCGTGTCAGAGGTTTCAGCTTAAGTCGAAGAACTCTAAAATATTTAGTTCCATCTTTGTGCGTCGTAGTTGAGTATTAAATATATATGAGCTGGTTGAAATCTCTATAATCCTAAAACAACCTTGTCTCTTCAGTTCATCTTTGCTTGTGTTTTTGAGCTCTTGCAGTGATTTCCACTACAGAGTCACCACTACAGGGTGCTTTCTCCAGATACACTTAATCTCTTATTATGATATTCTAAATACACCAAATGGTAATATAATGCAAATCTATATATCTACACTATATATATCTACACTCAGGAAGGTGGAGACTATTCTCAAGAACATGGATCACCCACTTTATAACACCTTAATGGACCAAAGGGCCAATGGTGGTGGACGGCTCCTCTCAGAAAGATTCAGAAGATCTTTTGTACCAACAGCCATCAGACCGTTTAGTTCTTCTTATTCTTATGTGAAGCTACATGTTTAAAACTTGAGTAGTTTTGTCCAAATTGCATTTCAAAGTTAAAGTCTTAATTTCGTCAAATAGTGGATTTTTGACAAATAAAAATTTGTGATTATGTTTAAGACGCTAAAAATAAAGTGAAACATCAGGTTTTACTCATTAAGTTTATCCTGTTTTCATTATTAGATACAGTCAATTTACAGTATTTTTTACAATATTTACAATATTTTTTGGAATTTCTCACTGTGGGACTATTAAAGGAACATCTTATCTTATTTTTTATTAAAGGGTTGGTCTTTTTAAGATGATCCTGGAGCACATTAATGATAATCTACTAAATTATTCTCTTTTATTATTACCATGATATGTAATCAGAAAAAATAGTTCATTAGAAAGCTGTGTGGAGGACATCACTCCTTCTTTTAAATGTTTTTAAGTCTCACTGCTTCATGTTTTTGGTTTTTGATATGAATCGTCTGTTTATGTGGTTTGAGGAGGGGGTACAGAAACATATTAAGGAAAATTCATGCAGATCCTTTACACGTGTCCGTCCCTTCTGGGTTTATTTTCAGCTTTTTCGAGGAGATAAATGTCCAGGAAAGGTGGAAAAACCTGCAGATATTTGGACGGACTATAGCGTAGCACCGAAGGGGGCGACCACGCACAGTCGCGCACTCATCCCTGCCCCAAACTCGTAATTGTAAATCGTGAGGGAGCGCGCAGACTGTCATTCCCTGCATATCTGCTGCTACTGCCGCTACTGCCGCCGCCGCTGCTGCTGTGTCACCTTATCTTTTCTCTGTGTGTCCGGGGACTATTTCACACACTGCTCCCGAAAGATTTCCACGGCGTACGTGTAGGTGTGTGCACGCTGACGGGCACCTTCTCATCCATGTGAGGCTCCGTGAAAGCGCTGGAAGCAGCAGCAGCAGCAGCACCTTGGAGGAGCAGCAGGAGGAGGAGGAGGAGGAAGAGGAGGATTTTTCTGCCGTACCGTGTCGTGCACAGTGGAAATACACTCGCCTGCTCGGGGTACTATCAAAGCGAAAGGGAGGGAAGAAGACGGAGACCAAGTACAGCATAAGGGCTTTTTGGAGGCTGCCAGACTATATCGGTGAATTGTCATCGGGACGGGCCTGCTACAGTGGATGTGTCTTCAGAATGGTAAGCTTATTTTCAGGAAGATTTTGGTCCGTGTTGGTGAGAAAAAAGCAGGCGGCTGCATACATGCATCATGCAGTAGTGAAGCAAATACAGGGAGCCAGTGTTAGAGATTGGCTTCACTACAATCTGGATGTGTTTTGCATTTGCGCCGTTTAGTTTCTGCTGTCCTATAAAGAATCAGCCCCGATCCCCGCATGTTACGCCTCGGACAGGGGGAGAGATTAACGGTGCAGCACGGTAGGCTTTCTGCTCCTCGTTTTTAACATTACAGTGTGTGTGAGCCCGAGCTGGTAAAGGATCAGAAAAAGTCCACAGTTTCCTTCCCTGACAGGCTCAGGAGGGGGAATAGCTGCAGCGCGTCCTAAATGATGTGAGATAGGAACATAAATAAGGGATGAAGGCGGAGGAGGACTTGCTTTCTGAATTTAGAGGAAGGATGAAGTGCCCTGCTGAATGTGGACTGAATATGAGAGCTAACCTTGTCGACTGTGACTGTCTCTTCCTGAAAAGCAGGGTGTCAGAAATGCTCTTGTTTGAGTTTCAGGGCGTTCAGTCAGAGATGTAAATGTGTTGTAGCTCAGATTAGGATGAAATTTTTACAGGTGAGTCCTGATCCAACTTTCTAATCGTACAACAACCTGTGTATTTTGGTGTTGTAAACCCAGAGGATTGTGTGCGTGTCAGGTGGTTGAGAAAAATGTATACTGGAGAAAAAAAATCAAGTTTTAATGAAAAAATGACAATAAATCAGCGACTTTACCGTTAAAACTATATGTTACACTTCTTTTTTTCTTTTAAGATTATTTGGCAAAGTCTCCAAAAGTGCATTGTCACCGTTCAGCTAATTTTAAATCGTGTAATTCATGTTAAAAAAGTAGACTTGAGTGTGCTGCTGCTCACTAACATTTGATACTAGAGGAGTAAAAGTGTGAGTAGGACCCCAGGGAGTCATTGTTGGGGCCCTACACAAAGCTTAGACCAGCTCTGCACTCTTACAGGGCTCCCCCCCACCACCACCAACACCATCTCACACACACACAGACACACACAACAAATCACACACAGTACTGAGGCTCTCTGGTTGGTAAAATTATACTATATTTGTTAAACACAAAGACAAGTAAGGGAGATTTTCTGCAAACAAGCGTATCTTTAACCCCTTTTTGTCAAAACAAAATCTTAAATTATAGTACTTAATGCCAAAATGATCAGCATCTCCGTCTGATCAGCAAGTTTTCTGACATTTTCTGACATTTTACCTCAAGTCGAAGAAAAACTAGTCAGGTAATTGTATTCAGAGTTACCCAGGATGAGCTGCAGAAATTCATGCCATGAAGAAAGTCTGTGTGTGGAGGGATTTGTTTAGCATATAATAGAGTCACAAGTGCCACCATTGGGCGTCGAAGGATGCGTGACCTCAGATATTAGAGGTTAAATCCAAGGGAATCCAGGGGCCCTCCGTCCTCTAAGGCAAGTGTTTCGTAGAGGCGTCGAATAAGGAGTCTGAAGTTGTTCGGTCCAGCCGAGGTTAACCTTTGTAGAACAAGGCTGCATTCCCCCGCTTGTCTTTGTCGTGCTGATGAGCTCTGAGAAGCAGCCTCTGCACTAGTTCTCTGCATGATAAGAGGGGAAACAATCCCCCCTCCCCTCCTCCCTTTTGTGATCACAAATGAAAAATCTGTTGCTTGTTTTTCCGCCTTTGTTGTTTTCATCACAAACTGAACGCATTGCTACTCTCTGAAGGACTGATTGCCAGAAGAAAGATGACATGTAAGTTGCAGTCGGACCTTGTTATAATCCATAAACGATTGTTATGTTTGAACCAGCGTTGGCAGCGTTCAGGGGGCAGAACCATAAGAGAGAAGAAACAATGAAATGCCTCTCGGTCCCTCTGGAGTTTTCTGAGAGGATATTGTGTATTTCAAGTAATAATTGTTGTGAGCACCGCACGGTCATCTAAGGAGGGAGTAGTTGTGATGCTGTGATGGTGAGGTCCATGATCCTGCGTGGCTCGATGGAAACGGTTTTCATTAAAAAATTAAAGATAATCACGCTTTACATTAGGAGGACTTAAATCAACAGCCCTGTTTGATGTTAATGCAGCATGTATTTTGCATCAGTTTGGCCTGTTTGTGGTAAACGTGTTGATAAATCGGCTGATCGATCGATCCTAAATTTTGGGGGATCGACAATTGGCTGATCCTTACATATCAAATTGGTTTTATCTACCTCAGCAATGGTCTGAAAGTCAGCTGTTGTAGCTTTTTGCTTTGCCAAAATGACAGGTCACGTGCGCACACACAACAGTCATCTGGAACATGATCAACCAAGCATGTTGAACCCACTACAAGGAAACATAAAACTCAGGTTTAAGCTATGTTCTCAGTTTGTCCTGTAGATTATTATTATTACACCAACTTCCTCAAACCTTGAGATTTCCTTTATTTGTAAAAGCAAAATACTGCTGTGCATTTTATTTTGGTAAGAGGCTCAAAAAAGGCCTGCAGTCTGACCTGTTGCACAAGTATTGTTAATTTTTATAATGTGGAAAATAAAAGACTAAAGGAACTGATATAATTTAGTAGTTTGGACAGCAATATTCTAAACTTCTCATTTATATTTGAGAGAAATACTGTATTTTCGCGCTATAAGGCGCACTTAAAATCCTTTTGGCTTGTCGGAGCACTGACGCTACCGTAGCCTTGTGGAGTTATTGAATGAGTTTAATAGAGTTTGACTTATCTGACTGTTTTGTTTGGCTTAAAGCGCTTTATAATCCGGTGCGCCTTATGAATGAAAATAGACGTGAATAGACGCATACGGTACCTCATGTGCAGTTAAAACAAACACAAAAAGTTTGCATTGTTTTCCAAGCATTGTTCAATGTTTTTCATCCAAATTAGATTGGAGCATCGAAGGTGTATGTTGTTGGTTATAAAAAAAAAATCAGTATCGGCAGGTCAAGCTTTTTAAAGATCAGTGATCGTCCAGAAAATTGTGATCGGTGCACCCCTAGTTTGTGGTGGAGTCAGCGGTTCTTCTTGCTTTTTCAACTCTGCAGAGTTGAGTACAACCATAGGGGGGGGAGGTGAGTTTTGTAGCCTGAAGCATTAGGTTTAGTTGAAGCTGCAGTCTGTCATCTTGTGATTTATCACACATAGAACTAATGGGTAGCTGTCACAATTACACCACTCTATTAGACATGAGAGCTGGGCCCTGAACACCCCCCACTACATACACAATAACACACACACACGCACTCAGTCACACTCACAAATGTTGACAGGACAGCTCCAGACTTTGTGTGGTTATTTGAGGACACCACAGAAATCAGAAACATGCGGTGACACAAAATGACCAACCGATTGTTCCACACAGCAGAATTTCTATTTCTCTATTTCTCTTTTCCACGGGCGCCTTTTTTAATAAATAAACTACGATGTGTCAAATTTACCTCCAGCTGTTTTTTAAATGTTGTGTAATCTGAAATTTGATGAGCACAAGAGTGAAGGGAAAAGCTATTTTTTGCGGCCCTATAATCTTGACCTCGGTACAAAAATAGAAATCATTTGTTTGTTCGAGGCTGCGTGTGTGTTTTAGCAAATCACAAAGCTTGGTGGGTTTGATGTGTAATGAAAGGTTACAACAGCTTTGACAGGCACGTTAAAAACACTCCCAGGGTTTAAAGGTTTTTGAATAAATAAGTAAAGGGCATGAAAATTAAAATACAGACCTAATTCACCCAGAAGAAGTCCTTGAATTAATGCGTCTATTACACTGCAGTGACTCCTATATATATGAGTCATTTCATTTGATTCTGTTTTATAGAACAAAAAGACCGGAAATACAAAAGGGAACAGAGCAGTATTAGGTGTCACGTCTGTCTGCAGAAACCCCAAACCACCATAAGACTTAAATTTTTTTGCCTTTTGATGTGAGATAATAATAGCATCAAACACTATAGTTATTTGCGTGGATATGTAAGAAGTGTTTTCAAATTCCCTGCTTTCCCGGGGCGTTGCAGTGTTCACCATTTCCTCTAAAATCTTTCAGATCCATTTTTCAAAGAACTGGAATCCTACACCTGTTTGGTGCCGCCTAAGTCAGAATCACTCAAACAAAGTATGTTAGGAGTGAGGTTTAGGGGGGGAAATAATGTGCCGGAGCCCCCAGACACAGGGTAGTATTTCTTTTCCTGGACACACAGCAACAGACTCCCCTTTGTGTCCGACATTTCAGAGTATGCATGTAGCAATTTTTAGGATGACTCTCACTGCTGTGGAAGCTAACGACAGTCTGCAGGTGTTGTACTTATTATCCTTACACACTCTGCTTTGATATATCCTTGTCTGCTCAAAGCCACAGCAGAACATAATCCAGCTCATGTTTTTCTCCAAACCTGCTCCCTTTTCCCAGGTATTTTCAATTCATTTTAGAGTATTTTGCAGGTGCTGTGTGTAAAACCATGGCCAAAGAACATTTCAGCTCACATATGGGTAGGAAATCAAAACAGGGTCCAGCTTTTAGCATTTTTTCCCCGCATTATGGAATTATGGATGGAATTTTGGGTGTTTTCGTATGAAAGGTTTAAAAATAACAGAACAGATGTTAAGCTGAAACTCATGCTATGATTTGATAATGAAAGATGAACGTAGGTCGAAGGAGCTTTAAATACATGTAACGAGTAGGGCCATATTGTCTCGATACTTGGGCTACGATATAATATTATCATGATACTTGGGCTACGATATGATAGTATCACGATACTTGGGCCACGATATGATATTATCATGATACTTGGGCTACGATATGATATTATCGTGATATTTAACATTTTTGCAATACAGTGAGTATTGCAATACCATATATTGTGATTTATACAATGATTTCAACTGTTTAGCACATTTAGTATTTGTCTAATTTTTTTTTGTCTTATTTACCCAATATTTTTTTTTCTTATAGAACATCTTGCAAACCTAATATATATATTTGTTGCACTAACTCTCTCCTGCTCCATGATTTCACCTCTGCCAACCTGACTGGACAAACAGTTGATTGTATTTTTCCATTATCATAGATTATACTTCATATTAGCAATTAATTTGAAAAAATCAATACTTGGTTAGTTAGACGATACAATATATCACCAGATAAAATATTGCGATACTATGCTGTATTGATTTTTTTCTCCCACCCCTAGTAACGAGGTAGATTATGCTTGAAGAACTGCATTGATAAAGTAAACGTCGCCTTTAGAGGACAGGAAGCTCCCATGATGCATGAGAAGTATCGTCTGTCCTATAGTGATCATAACCTGAGATCTGGACGGTCAGAACTTAAACCTTGAAGGTCACAGAAATAGTGTCATCCAAGCCGACAACAAATGTGGTTTTACCTCATTAGTAGCTTCCATACGATGCCAATGTAAACAACGCTTTAGTGTTTACTGCAGAGTGAATGATGGCGAGGCGAAATCCTATTTCTGTGTGATTCTATTTTTTGAGTTTGAACATGCAAGCGGATGACAGAAACCAAAATAAAATACTCGTAAATAAAGTTCCTGAAAAAACTCCAGAGCCAAAAAGGAGTTTCAGAGAAGAAATGTCAAAGTGAGTCATCAAACAATTTGCTCTAATAGAGCAAATTGTTTGACATGGCTGGCCCTAAAACCTTTATGTTTGATTGCCCATCATGCACTAAAAAAACTCTCCACTGATGGAGAGAAATTGAGGCTGACCATTTCAAACTGCTCCCAAGTACTGCTCACAGACTGACTCGGCCCAACTGTCGGGTCAATGTGTTTTACACCACTAGAGTTAAATGCACTGCAACAAATTGCCGCTCTTTCGTCGTTGTTGTTAGTTTGCTGCGGCTCTGAACAACAAATAAAGAAACACTAATAACTTGACAAGTGAATCTGCTCTCTTGATGGTCTAGAAGAAGTGACAGGATTAACACAATGTCCTTACAGTGTTTGAAGGTTACATTACGAGGGCGATGTGTCAGACAGGCGTCAGGCTCCTGGCAGCGATCAGACTAAGTGGCATCTTACATTTTCTGCATCTTCGAAATCTTCCCATCAACACAACCTCCTCCCTCGTGGCATTTCATCATGACCAGGATAATCTTATGCAAGATAGTGAAACGGCAGTTAATTTGCAGGTAATTAAGCCCTGGTGGTTTACAGCTGGAAAGCAACATATACAGTGAGGCTGCAGTTACTACATGACAATATGGAAACAGTGATGTAAGGACTTTTCATTGTTTACTATTAATGAGTGGCATTGTAAGTTCTTTTTTAATCTAAACTGTCGCAGGATTTGTTAGGGAAGTGTCAAATTTACATGTACTGGTCTTTTACTTACTCTGAGCTGTGAGTGTTTTTTCTTTTTCCCTGTCAGAGTCAAGAGCAGCGGCTTTAACAAACACCTACAACAGAGTCTTTTCAGCAGTAATATGCATTCTGTTAGCACATCACCTGAATAGCAGATTTTTGTGAGGTGTTTTCATTTTGCATCAACGAGGAGTTTCTATTTCAGTTCCTACTCGGCGCAGTTTGTGGTTGTAGCTGTCTTAGAGGTCTGTGGATTCAAATTCTTTTAAATGAAATAATGTAGTCGAGGATGCACTCGGTTTACAGTCTTGAAATTGCACGGATGTGAAGAGATCTTATTACTACGTTGGTGTTGAAAGACCGAGCGTGTAACCTTGTCTTGGAGGAGTCCGGTGTGGATCAATCACGGCTGATATCTGGTTATTCAATCGAATGAAGTTTCAGAAGTGTACACTTTTTGAAATCCCATCTGATGCTGTTGTCATTCACTTATAACCCCATCTACGGTGGCCCTGAGGTGCAAAACACAACAGCAAAAGAGAAAACACAATGGTTAATGGTGTTGTGTTTTCTGTTTTGCCGTTGTATATTCTCGTTTTGTGTTGTTTTCTTTTTTTTAATGATTCAAATTTTATTGAGTTTTAAGTTTTTATTACAAGATTAAACTAAAACAACCAGTATAAAAAAAGGAAGAGTCATGATACAGGCTCATGACAGTAAGACATAGAAGTAAAAACAATTAAATAAAAATAAGTACATCAGTCTAACTCAGGTAAAATTAGTCCATGCTTAATCAACATGTGTTGTGTTTTCTGATTTGCCGTTGTATTTTGCACCTCAGGGCCACCGTACCCAACAGATTAGCTCATTCAGACTAAGTGTATTTTCTGGTATTAGTTTAGACGTGTTTGTATAAGTTTGTATAATCATCATGGAGTGTATCATGGGTACTCGAGTCTTTTTAATTTGCTGTTATTTCATTGGACTTATTTAATTTGATGTTATTGGCTGTGGCAGTTGGATTAGGTAGACAAACAACATGAAACTTTTATACAATCATAACACATTAATGACCGTGGATGTGTTTGGTTTTCAGCATTACAAATGAAGCTGCAGATTACTCCCGAGTATATGAGTCCAGGTCAGAGTCTGTATCATGAAAATGTTCATGTTGTTTATTGCAGCGATGTCGGTACGAATCCTGAGTAAGGTTTTAACTTCATGGTGCGAGGCTCGAGTCCCTCGTTCCTCTCAGATCTCATGCTAATTTGTTGCTGTAAGCTTAAGCTGTGATTTCTCTGACAGAGACTTTTAATGGAGACAAATTAGGGCTACATTAAAGGGAAGGTGCAGGACTTTTTGAAGCTTATACTCCTCAATGACAAAGCCCCTCTTAAGACATGAAAACAGTTTTAGGTCAGAGCTGTTATTTTAAAAAGGTTGGCACCAGCTTCCTCTCAGCATCTGTTAGTAGCTTGTCTTCCAAATCGCACAGCGGTAATTATGTATGCGCCTAAAACTGCGGTTAAGTTAATAAGTAATATGATTACACAATATGATTAAAGGGCTCAGTTTTGGGGAGTCATTTCCTCCCTTTTGCCCCTCATACCAACTTTCATGATTGCACAAACGATTCAAATATCATCTGCTTGAAGGTATGTTCATGCAAATTATAAAAAAGTGTCTGCTACTTTCAAAGGTGAGGAAAAATGCCTGACTGCTGCTGCTGCTGCTGCTACCTGAACCTTCAGAGATGTAAAAATTTACATAAGGAGAGAGAGTAACAAGCATTATAGCACACAGGAATACAACAGAATCCCTCAATATGTCCTCTGCAAGGCTCCAATGTTGACAATCGGAGCATGTTTGGGGAACATGCTACAGTCAGAACAAAACCATGGAATATTTTAATCTGCCTGAAGTCAGTAGAAACGCTCTGGAAACATTTATTTAGACGAATAGGGGAGTGGAATAATTTTGTGGTCAGTATTTGTGGTCTCACTAATCCAAGCAATCAGATAGCGTCTCACAAAGAGATCTGTTGGCTTTGATTATGTCCATGTGCATGTCAAATAACGTCAAGGGACGGCTTTGCAAGTCCTTATATTTGACAAGAAACAAGTGACATGAGAAAGAAAGTCTTTATGCACTCGAAAGGTCCCGGGCCAAATGTCTGGCTGAAAACTGGCTCAAACTGGCTGCTCGTACTCTGAGACATCAGAGCGCTGCCAGCAGGGCTTACTTTTTTTTTCATGCATCCAGACTCAAGGGTGGCAACCGTCACATGATTGTGACTACTGTGTTTAATCCTGCATCAAAACTCTTTAAATCCACCTTTTTAAAATTGCACTTTCAGGTCTTATAAAGCAAAGTCACGCGCAGCCGTTTATGCAAGTTTCTAAATCAAATGGAGTGAAAAAAGTCCTTGTTCTTGCAGAGAACTGTCATATTTTCACAACTTGCTGCACACCTGCATGGGAAGGTTTCAGGGGTAGGGGAGCGCTGAAAAGGAGTTGTCAAATTATTTTGCAAGTGTTCGGCAGCGAAAAGGAGTGATAGCTCTCGAGGGGGCTGGCCTTAAGCTGTTATTCTATAAATATTAATAAAGCCCACTAGCCTGCCTGGGAGGAAGCGAACAGTTTGCTCATGTCACAGACTGGGCTTCAGTGTGACAGGTTGTGAAAAGAGTGATGGGATGACAAAGAGGCAGTAAGATGACATTTAGTGACAGGCCTCATTTTTCACATATGAAATGGCATCAGTGAAAATAGAAGCAGAGGCCGCTGACCTCACCCTTGTTATACTGTGGCACAGTCAGCAAACACTACCTCCAGTGGGTGTTATATTAGACATATTAGACATTTCATGGTGGCTATTTTTGAAAGTTTTCAAACAACTCTGTACTTTCATTTAGTCCTTTTTGATGGATTGAAACCAACAGTGTGGACAGGCACGAGAAATTTTGGCTGCTGCTGACATTAACTTGCCAAGATGGCTGCATGCAACTTAGACTTTGCAGCACGAACACAGAGCTTTGTCATCCTAATAGATTTAGTTTTATTTTTCCACGGGTCACAGAACATGCTGGTATTATAACGATTTTTAAACTCATCATTAAAAGTTGTATATTTTTAAATGGAAAGACGCCCTTAAGGGTTTCTCAGTGCATGGCTGTCTAAAATAAACTCCCAAGTGGGAAAATGTCACAAAAATTTGGCAAAAGGTTTTTGTCAGTTATAATCAGATATATAGTAAGTGCCTTTTATAGCTTTTATAAGTGTAACATGAGGCCACTCCCAACATGCACACACACAAACCATATAACTTAATTTGCAGTCTGGCTTGACATAACTAGCAAATCTGCTTGTGATTATCAGGGTTACTGCTGGGTCTTTAAAAAGTCTTAAAACGTCCAAAATCCACTAATTTGAATTGAAGGCCTTAAAATGTCTAAAATGTCTTAAATACATGTAGGGCTGGGCGATATGGGAAAAAGTTTATCACAACATATTTTATTCATATCAGCCGATATCGATATGTATCACAATATTAAATAAATATTTTCTAATTTTATTTATTTATTTTTTTTAAATAGTAACAGTACATATTGATGAGCATTTACATGTAAATATTTGGGATTATAGCCAATTGGCTAATTTCTATCCCCAGTCCCATTGGCAGGTTGATGTTAAACATAAGAGCAATAATGTTAAAAGTACAAATAACACGACTAAGACAGTAAAACAATGCGCTGACAACATACACATAATATACATAAACACGTACACAGACCAAAAACTAAGTGACCAACAGTAAGGGGACCAAAAAGATTAAAAGAGAATTGTAAAGTGATAAAGTGCTAATTAGAGTGTTATGGGCTAAAGGTGTTTAAAGTGCCATTTGCTACAGTACAGCTTGTTAACAATTACTTGTCAATATTAAATGAAATTTGTTTGCCACTTGGTTCTAATTCAACACATGATTGGTTCAACGCGGCGCAACCCAGAACAACTCCCCTTTCATTGGCTTGTCGTATAGTCTACCAAAACATGGCAGCATGCTGACTATCGAAAAGCATATGGACCATGATTCATATCGATATTGAGGGAATTGTTTATTTTTTTAAATATATCATTGTCGTTTTATCGCCCAGCCCTAAATTCATATTGAAAAGGTCTTAAAAATCTACTGATGTTACTCACAAATATTGATTTGAAGTTAGTTTAAAATGTCCCGATTTATCTTCATGTCTTTTGTACTTTTTTGTCAGTATGGATGTAAAATGGATCTTAAATTGTGTTCATTATGGTCTTAAAAGAGTCTTAAGGTTGGAAACCCTGATTATATATATTTTTCAATACTCAGTGCCCACAAAATGCTAATGACAGCAAATGCGAACATCATATAACTGGGATGTACGTTTCTCCACCCTCCTTCAAACATGTTAAATAGTCGACATCAGCCCGGCTGGTTGTATTCCCAGTTTTCAGCTTAAACTTACTCGCAGACATTATGGATTCGTTCTTATCTAAAGATTAAACAGGTGCGTTTACAGACATGGCTACAATACTGCAGCCATTATGCACCAGCTCTGTTATCTGGGCTTATGGTATCTAAAGCATTTGTATTAAAGGCATTTCACAGCCGTGGAAAGATAATTCCTGTGTGGTAAGGTGTAAAATTGAGCAGCTTTGATGTTAAGCGGTCTATTTAAATTCAAGATGAGGTTGTTAATTAGTTGACAAAAATCTCTTTGGTTTTAAGAGTTTTTTTTTCTCTAATCTCTCTGGCCTGAGATCAGTTTGCTGCTCTGAGCTCAAAGAAAACAGATAAGAACAGCCACAGAGTTTCTAAATGGTTGCAGTGTACCTCTACACATTTTTATCAATATTAGATCATGAAAAACATCTTTTGGATCACTGAGAATCCATTCACCCGTGGCTCAGAGATTCGGTCAGATTGGAACTAAATGTTGTTGGGACACTATTTACTGTTTGAAATTGTCGTTTAATTGAAGAGTAAAGTCAGAATCATCAAGGTTGCCTTGTGAGTGGCCCGAACATCTATTTATGGTCTTTTTGTGGATGGAGAATAACCTCAGTGAATCATGACAGCTAACTGTGCAGCGGGTGGAGCTGTAATATTTCAGAGCTCAGGGAATATTTACTTTGACAAGTTGTCCAGACAAGCAATTCCAATTGTGCTATAAGGGGGCACATATAGTACACACTGTAAATAAATGGATATGGTGGAAAACTGCACGTCTGAGCCTTGAAGTAAGGAGAGGTATATGTGAAGTGTGTATGTATGTCAAAGTAGGAATGTGAGTAGCAGCCTGTACTTACACAGTGACATCTCAGGGGTGAAGAAATCAAGATGGATTCAGTATATTTTTTTAAAGGAATCCCTTATAGAATAAACATGCCCCACATACTGTACACACAAACTCCTTTTCCATTAGGCTAGTTCCAGTGCTACTTTGGAGCCAGTGCCCGACTTGGAACCAGTTCTGTGTTTTCACAACGCCAAAGAACCGGGTCTGTGCCAGAAAAAACAGTTCCAGAGAAGCACTAAGTCCTCGCCGGGCTACAAGACTGAACTGTTTACATGAGGGACTTCAGGCGGGGTTATTTGACCAAATTAAAGTCTCATATTTGCCGAAATAATAAAACATATACGATAATTATCACCATGCATTGAGATTTTGACCGGCAGAGTGCAGAGTTACAAAGCTAGGAGTAGGGCTGGGCGATATGTCCACGAATTAATATCATGATATTTTGATCAGTTCATCTTGATAACGATAAATGGATGATAACTACTCCACAAGCTGCTCTTCCCCGCCCACATTAACTTCGTCTACTTCAGCCGCTCCAACTTTTGAACCGTCCTCCATCTCCTCACCTGTCTTTCCCTCTTTGTTGGATGGGGTGGAGTCACGTCTGTGATGTAGGACAGCGTCTTAAAGGGACATGAGACCATAGCCTGCCTACACACATCCAAAAACAACTTTGATTTATTTATTCTTTTGACACCGATTGTATTGATATGGGCAAAATGACGTCTGTTATTGTTGTAAATTTTGGTATTTGTAAATTTTCTGTTTATCGCCCAGCCCTACTGGTGATATTCCTGATTCCAGTCTTGTAGATCAGCTACCTGGCATACTACGTGCAGAGTAAGTCCACCAGCAATAATATGCAAAAACCACTACCGCTTGGATCAGATCTGAAAACCACATGGATGAAAAGACATGTTTAATTATTGATCATATGATCATGTGACGTTTAAAAGTGCGTCCAGCCTGCTGCACTGACGATGAAGAGGAAGAGCAGAGAGAGAGAAATGTATTTTCATTTATCGGTGTTTTCAGGCACAAAGGGCCTTGACTCTATTTTCTATTTTTGTAACACATACCTTAGACTATCTCCTGAGTGATGGAAGAAAGACTTTCACTTTTAACACCTTTCTCCAGTCTTATTCTCGTCCTCTCTGTTCCCTCTGTAGTTCAGTGTGGTGTTGATGTTTCCAGAGTTCATCCTGATCAGTTTTAGGAGGACTATGTAATGGCTGTGCTGGTACGAGAGTCACATTTTTAATCGTTTTTCCTCAACTCAGCCTGCCGCAGGTCTCTGGGAATAAGAGATATATTCACTGACGTCAGCAGCGGTGTAATGACGTTCACAGTGTGAACCAGCTCTGAATCTGCACCAGGGCCACTCTGGTGGAAACGGGGTAACAGAGGACATAGATCCCATTATGTGTGCAGAGCAAAGCAGCTAATTAGGAAATAATTGCCTTGTTGAATGAATGTGGAGCCCGTTTTGTAGTCCGCTATCTCTCTTTTCTACGAATTCTCGTGGATCCAGGTATTCATCAGGCGGGGCTCCTGTATCGTGTCAGGTGATGAGCGGGTCCTGATCAGGATGTGGACACAGCGCTGCCGTTGTTTTCAACAAAAAGGAAGAACATCGCTGACTTTAGTGATTTGTTGGAGATTAGATTTGTCTAATCTATCATAGGTCCCTGTACTTCTTCCTCTGTCAGCTGCAGTTGTGGGATTATTTTCTTCACATAGACACTTTATACTAACTGTAAGATGTAATTGAGCCCCAAATACCAGAAGTCAAAACCCAAACAAAACGTCCAACTTTGAATCAATAACTATGAAAAATAAACTCATTTGACCACAGATGTAGCTCCTCACGTTGAGTCAGTCTGATGTCCACAGGGTTAGCTTGACGGCAGTAACTCATCATGCCTCGGCCTCTTTCTCATTGCAGAGCCATTTGGTTGTGCTCCCCCCTGCTGTGAAGATGCAGAGCAAAGGAAGTTTAATGTGGTGCTGCAGTGTGCAGTATCATCTGCCGCTTGTGATGTGGGTCGTTCGCTGGCACCAGACAATAAAACATGAGAGATTCACTTCTTACTCAGAGATGCACGTGGTCCAAGTTACTGTACAGCAGTCTGGTCCATTTGAATTTAATATTTTGTAGCTGCAGGTACCAGAGGAAAAAAAACAGAAATGGATCTGGAGCTCTTTATTGACGTGAGATACCAATGCTAACACTGTTGCTTTCACAGTGTCAGGTTGCTCAGATAGTTTATTTTTCAGCCATTTAAAACAAATATAACCTCATACTGTGTTAAAGCCGAAGAGTACAGCTCTGTTAGAAAGTGCAACAGGTCTGCTCTGTTCTGCAAACACAGCACAGTCAGATTCTTTTAACTATAAAACCAGCTGTTCACCACAACAGTCCTGATGCAACATTTGCTCATCACTGCGCTCCTGTGTGTGTAGATGTGTGTGTGTGTGTGTGTGTGTTAGTGCTACTGAGTAAAAATAAGCTAAGAACTGGGAGGAAAATCACTGGGAGGGACAGCTTAAAGACGAAGACGGCGTAGCTGAAGCAGAAGGTCAATTAAACAGACTCTAAACTTTCGTGTATTATCTCATCAACATAAATGAAAACACTCTCAAAAATAAGAAAAGCTTTACACAGTTAGACGATTAATGTATTTAAATGTCTCTGTTTGGCAATGATCACAGAAATGCTGTTTTATTAACTTAATTTAAACTCCTGAATCAGGAATACATGAGTTTAAATTTAAAGATCTTTGTAACAACTTGGTTGAAAGACTCATGACCTTTAATATGTGGAAAATGAATAAATGTAAAGCTGCCAAAACTGATTTGTCTTACTGAGCCCCCTGGTGTCCTGTTAAATTAGGTCAAAATTAGGGCTGGGCGATAAACCGAAAATTTACCGATACTGAAATTTACAACAATAACTGTCGTCATTTTGCCCATGTCAGTATATTCAAAAATAAATTAATTAATTAAAGTTGGTTTTGGATGTGGGTAGGTAGGTTATGGTTTCATGTCCCTTTAAGATGCTGTCCTACGTCAGAGACGTGGCTGAAGTAGACGAAGTTAATGTGGGAGGGGGTGAGCAGCTTGTGGAGTAGTTATGGTCCATTTATCGTTATCGAGGTGATTTGCTCAGTATATCGTGATATTGATTTGGGGCCATATCGTCCAGCCCTAACTTGAACTGTTTTTAATAGTCTTCACTTTTTATGGGCATCATCATCTTTCAGCTTTGCTCTCAGATTACATCGCCACACTGGTGTAAGTATTACTGTGAAAGAGTCTGTGTCTTGTGGATGCACAATACTCGCCTAATGTAGCTCAAATTAAACACCCGGGTTCAAAGTAAGCAGTAAAATTTCTCACGTCTTCGTTATGACTGAGAGCAGTGTTCCCTCGTTTAATCACAGTGTTAGAAAATGTCTTAAAATGACTTCCAATCATCATCTATCTGTGCCCACACTTTGTACAGTATGATACACGTGACATTAAAGAGCAGAGAAGAGCTCAGTGCACTCATGTACTATCTCCCTTGTGCAACATTCAACGTAAAATGGCTTTTTAAACAAATAATAATAATGAGATAGAAACCCACTCATAGTACCGTCCCAAGAACTGAGTAATTACCCAATTAAATCATAGAGTATTTTTGTAACCGAGGTCACACGTCTACAAAATAACAGGAATGATCTCCTGAGTATCTCATATCTAACTCGACATCTTGTATTGCTTTTCTGAGTGGTTCTTAAAATGGTTAAAATCATCCTACCACTCTTTTGAACGCTCTAATTGATTGAAACAACCTTTGGGCTGAAAACAGTAATAAGCTCAGATTTGCAGCTCAAGGAAGTCAGTGGGCATAGAATCTCTTTGATGGTCCTCCAATAGGCGTGTGACCTTTTACTTAATAATGCAATGTACTCTTGGATCAGAGAGCATACTCTTACTTTCACAGCCAGCTTGCATTTCTAGATATCCAACCAACATGTTCGAGTATTTTGCAGCAGTTCGATGAGTGGTACATGTGCACTGTTGAATAAGTAATGGGGTTGCATGCATGCGCTAACAGAGCTGTTCATGCCCTCTAAACCCACTGCCTCGCCATATTTTTATTACTGTCTTTTCCAGTTCAAATGATCTGCTCTGAAGCGGCTCAGAGGTTTTTGTAGAGCATAAATATGAAATGCATGAGGTCCCTGTTAGGTAAAGTTGAAATTCTCCCTATCATCTATGGTGCTGTACGGTTAAAAGCTGCTCTGGTAGACATGGAGAGCTGTGTGGACATTTTTAACTCTGGGCATTAGGGCTGCACGATTAATTGATTTCAATTCATAATCAGATTGATTATGACAATGTTAAAAATATTAAAATTGTCGAATCAATTTTCCTCTCTATCATGTCTCACGCCTCCAGGCCACCTTGGGCTCCATCTTCCTCTCCAGTTCCCACACACACCAGTGTAAACAAACATGGCGTTTGCTTAAGAAGGTGATAATTTTGTGGCTAAATAGGACAAGAGCGAGTCAGTCGTGTTGAATTGGTACGACTTCACAGCTTCAGATGAAGATCAGACCACTCTCCGCTGCAAAGTCTGTTTGAAGGCGGTATCAACCCGTCCACATGGAAACGAATTTAGGAGTAAACGCAAAAGTTTTTTGTCATATCGGCGTTTCATCCACATGGAAGCATGTCTATCACATCACCACATGTCTATCTGCATCTCTGGAAACGATCATGTGACACAGCGTAACTCTTTTATGGCGCCTGTGCATGTCCGGACAAAACAACCTTTATACACATACTCTGTACTCTTCTACTGTCTTTTATGCATTTCCTGTGCAGAGTTACAGCGCAACCTATTGGCTCGGCATATGCACTACATTGTTTACAGTGGTTTTGTTTTGAGAGATGATAGAAAATAGGGCTGGGATGATATGCTTTTCTCCCGATTTGATTGTTCTACGATCTTTTGGATGGCGTTTTGTAGGCCTGGACGATATAGAAAAAAAGCATATCGATAAAAAATAAATCATATTGATCGATATCGATAATTATCGATATAATTATTATAATTATTTAACATATATTTTAATTGCAGCCCTGGATGTTTTATGCTATTGCTTAATGACCTACTTTTAATAAAGAACACACAAGCACTAAAATCAAATTCAAACCTTTATTCAACCACCTTTTTATTTATTTTTTTACCACAACTGAAAGTTTTTTAAAAAAGAACTTAAAAAAAAAAAAGAAATCAACTTAAGTGGCCTGGGTGACGTCAGTAAATACTGACAAACATAAAGACTAAAGTGACCAGAAAATCTGATAAATAAATATTTAAATAGTCTTTTGATGAAAATAAACAAAACAAACAAATATATAAATAAACAGAATAGCTTTAGGTGGGAATAGCATACTACCAGTTTTAACTGTGTGGGAAACTGCCCACAGCCTGGTGTCTGAACACTGAAATATTTCTCCCGGGGTCGGGAGATTTCTTTTTTTTAATTATCATATGATTGACTTAATACGCAAACTGAGCACGAGAAGCAGGACTTATCCACGCCGGTGTTGTGTCGTAGAATGCACCCCTGCCGAACGCACCCCCTGCTAGTAGCCATGATCCAAATACTCGCGTATGAGCTCATTTTCTTCCACTTTAAGAAGCTAATGAGTGGACGGGATGCAGGGGTGCATTCTACAGCACAACACCGGAACGTATTTCCTCCGCACCCTTCTCAGCTTTTCAACCCCTGACCCGTTTTCATGCCTGAAGCGCTGTGTTTGAGAAATACTTGCGGCCGGGCACTTCATATCGCGGGTCGAGAGTGGCTAGAAGCTGGTCGAAGCCAGGCTTTTCAACGGTAGTTATTGGCAGCATGTCACTGCATGGGTGATGTCCTTATGCCGCTTTGACGCTTTGTCGTATTTGGCAAGAAACGAAGTCCAGTTTGGTCTGCTTCACATGCTTTGTGCTGGTGCTGGCAGCGGTTCCAGAGGATTCCTCCTCCGACGACGTGGAGCCGCGGCGCGCGGCCGACACAGCTCGTACTCCTGCGGGTGCGATCGGTTTAGATGGTAGAACAAATTTGCAAATTTTGCAAACGACCGCTGTTCGCTTTTTGTCAGACTTCTAAAAACCAAAACATTGCCATGCTGGTGAACTACTGAAACCTTTTTTCGGGACAATTTCCTCCGCTTCTCCTTGCTGTAACATTTTTTCTAATACACGTGCTGTCTGTTGTGGTTTGAGAGGGGCTGGGCTTGGTGCTGTAGCGTACCTGGGTCTGCGTTTGTGATTGGTTGGGAGGAAGTAATGACTGTAGTAAAAGCTACATGATAGGCTATGATGAAAAAGAAAGGGAAACTGTGTTTTTCTATCGAACTTTTTATCGACCCGTTTTTTTTCTATCGCACCACACGTCTATCGATCGATATATATTGTTATCGAATTATCGTCCAGCACTAGCGTTTTGATTTAAAATGCGATTCCACGATTTTGTCGATCTTTTGTTTGCATTTTTAACACCAGTGAAACAGCTGAATGATTGTGATTGTCTTCTGACCATTACAGGAACCATATTCCCCCAAAAAATACACCTCACATGTAAGTCAGTTTGTAAGAGTAATTCTTAAATAAAAAAAAAAATAGATTTAAAAACTGTGAAACAAAACATCGTGATACTAATGTGAATCGATTATTTCTCCCACCCCTAATAGAAAAACTTGTTTAAGTAATTTTTTGTGATGTTGTCACTGAATAAAAAATCAAAATTGAAATAAAAAAATTGATCAGGAAAACCAGGATTTTATTTTCGTCCAAAACCGTGCAGCCCTAATGTGCATATAAAAAGTACTTAGAATTAATCAGTCTGCTTTGTTTTTGCTCTTGTTTTGGTCACCTAACCGTCTCACCTGCTGATTGTGAGCTGCACAGATGATACCAGTAACTCAAATACGCCAGTGTTACATGGTCGGTAAGCCTCTTGATCTCGGTTGACTCCCATGTTGCATCATTTTTATATTGAATCTATTGTTAAAGTCACTCTATATTCCGCTGCTGCTGGTTGGAGGTTTCCTGGCAGAGCGGCTTCAAAAGGCTTTCTGCTCCCAAAACATGTCTAGTTGCAGATTTGAGGAGTATGTTGTCAAAATGTCACATAGATTGCTGGTAGAGGTGTAAACACATGCTGTCGACTTGAGATGTCTCATTGTTAAGAATCAGCTTAGAGTGAGGAAAGAAAACCAGCTGACAGTTTCCAGAATATTCTTTAATTTCTTGGCTAGTTAAAAAAAATCAGCTGTTTCAATCAGGAGGAAAAATAAGCTCTGGCACAGCTCTGTCTCTCCCTCTTACCCACTGTGCCACCCACCCACACACTGCTTCATGTCTCCGTTGCTCTGCCTGTCATTGTTCGATGCAGTGTTGTGTAAAATGAACAACTTGAAGGAAAACTGGGATTTTGGGTTCCTCAAGTTTTCCCTGTATCTTTTTGGATTTCACGGTGACCGGAATCAGACATGGAAGTGATTAGTTATTGCACATGAGCCAACCCGGCTGAACGAATTTCCCAACCCTAGGAAATAACATTACTCTTTCTGTATCAGTGATGCGTTTGTTCTTTTGTAGTTGTATTTAAATACTTGATAATGACGGAAATCTGCTGTATCAGATTCATTTTCTAAGATGACTGCAGTTACTGTATTTTTTCATTCTCTCATGAATCGATTTATTAATCAGTGAGTCTAAGATCTTTAAAGACTCTTTGAATCTTTTGGAGTTTCTCAGCCGCAATAAACCAAGGTCAGAGTACTCTGTAAGACTTAAAAATGTGGCACACTTCCAGAAACGATAAAGACCAGATGGTGCTAGACATGTGAATTTCTGATTTATGCATGTTAGTCTCCACACTTCATAAGATACTTGCACAAGTCTGGGGAGCTTTAATCATTTTGGTGAAATATGCACAAAGGAAAAAACATGTATGGGATAGTTTTATACCTTGTATTTGTTGCACTTTTCTTAATGGCTGTACTACATGAAATAAAACCCCGGCACGCAAGAGAATAACATCCCAACATCAATAAATAAAGACACGAGACAAAGAAGGATACATGATCAGACAAAAAGCTGCATAAAAACACACAAAGTCTGACAGGAGAGAGTTAAAAACACGGGCTGGAAGTTGTGTGTGTACTCTGATGTTTGTGTTCGACTCAAAGCTGTATTTCACCTTTATTTTCCTTTTTCGCTCTTAGTATTCAGGCCAGCGCCTTTATTGCTGTAAGTGGAGCTCTGTATGCGCCTGAAATGATTTTGTGTGTGTCTGAACACGAGCAGAAACACTGGAGGAGCTTATGTGATTTAGATCATGACTGAGAAGGCTGCTGTTGTGCTGAGTTAGAAGAAAATTATAGAAAAGGAAACTGCTGTGCTATAGTACACAGCTTGACCCATAGCAGGGATTATTTATTGCTGTCAGCTGTAAAGCTCATAACTCCTGTTTTAGTTATTTATTTTATGTGTTAACGTCAGGTCAAGGACTCTGTGTTGCTCTGTGGGCTGAAAACAGACTCGATCTGTGAAAGTTTTTCATTGTGATTCACCAACCTGAGAACAAAGTGCCTCAACAAACTCTTTCTGTAATGAGAACAGTGTTTCAATGTTTTGCCCAAAATTAATAAAAGAGTAGGGCTGCACGGTTAATCGATTTTAAATCATAATCGGATTCTTTGATTATGACGAAAAAATTAAAATTGTCGAATCGTTTTTTCCTCTCTATCATGTCTCACGCCTCCAGGCCACAGTAGGTTCCCCAGTTCCCACACATACCAGTGTGAACAAACATGGCGTTTGCAAAAGAAGGCGATAATTTCATGGCTAAGTAGGACAAGTTGTGTTGAATTGGTACAGCTTTGCAATTTCAGACGAAGAGCAAACCACTCCTAGCTGCATAGTCTGTGTGAAGGCGGTATCAACCCGTCCACACGGAAACGAATTCAGGAAGTTTTTTGTTGTATCGGCGTTTCATCCAAACAGAAACGACATTTCAGGTGACTGTTAACGGCACTTTTTGAAAACAGGTCAGAGAGTACATAAATCTGTAAACGACGACCATTTCATCTCCGTGTGGATGTCTATCTGCATCTCTGGAAACGATCATGTGACACACAGCTTAACTCTTTTGATGATAGAAAAAACATTTTTTTAAAAATCGAAAATCTGGATTTTATTTTTGGCCAAAATCGTGCAGCCCTTTTTTGAGCACTGATGACTTGATCTTGTACATTTAACCAGAAATATGGTGACTCGACTGATACACAGATGGTATCTCAGCATTTTTATTTCTTCAATAAAAATGTAAACTACTATTACTCACACATGTTTATTCATTTTAACAAAAGCAAAAATGAGAAAAATGACAAGGAAAGTACAACAAGCAAAGATGTCTGATTGTAATTCAAGCCTTCAAACATAATTTTTGAATTGAATATCTCTCTTTTTCATTGAAATGATGCAATGTGTGTCTTTTATGTAAATGCAGCTTCATTGAAGAGTCTATACTAAAGCCTCTCTGTCCCTCAAACCCTCATTTGGTGTCAGTGTGTGAGTTTTGATCCGCCTTGGTTCATTAAATTTGTCAGATTGGGTAAGGACATGTCAGTCTGTGAACATCATTTTCATTCTTCTATCTGCTGAAGGCAACAAAACATCATCAGCAGTGTTAGACTTAATGAAGGGGACAGAGAGGCTGTTAAATGACTACAACAGGGTTTATTGGTGGTCTTTGTTAGTGCTTCAAAACTTATCAATAACAAGTCGTACCTGGAACAGCAGGACTCAGCTGTGCTGTGTAATTGTTGTGTGAAGAACTAATTTATTTCTGGCAGATATTTCAATTCTATTTTATTAATTCTGATTTCATTCTGACCCATTACGGATAAATATCTTGAAAATTTCAGTTTGTTCTGATTCATTTGAATGGAGCTGTTTTCAAAGAAGTAACGTACTACAGCACTTTTTTATCCGAGCCTGGATTATGTTTCTGAAACCAAATATACCGATATCAACAAAATGACGTTGGTGATTGTCGTGAATTTCGGTATCGGTAAATTTTAGGTTTATCGCCCAGCCCTATTCAAAGGCCTTTTCTTTGGGGTATCATGCAGGTTGATGAGCCTCGCAGGAATGTCTTAAAGCATTACATGTAAAGAGTGAGACATACTGAAGGCAAGGGCTCAACCTATCAAGTTTTTGCTCAATCTCTAACGTATCTCTGATCAAGGTAGGGCTGGGCGATATGGCCTCAAATCAATGTCACGATATATTGAGCAGGCTACTTTGATAATGATAAATGGACGATAGCTACTCCACAAGCTGCTCACCCCCTCCCACATTAACTTCCTCTACTTCAGCCGCTACAACTTTTAAACCGTCCTCCATCTCCTCACCTGTCTTTGCCTCTGTCCCTTTCTAGGACAGCGTCTTAAAGGGACATGAGACCATAGCCTACCTACATACATCCAAAACCAACTTTTATTAATTTATTATTTAAAACCAAATATACTGATATGGGCAAAATGATGTTGGTTAATGTCGTAAATTTTGGTATCAGTAAATTTTCAGTTTATTGCCCAGCCCTATCAGCACATATAGTCCTTGCCTGTATAGGTTGATAGGAAGAAGGGAAACAGATTGTATTCTGAACTTGAATTAGTGTCTAATTCAATTTAATGGCTATTTTTTGGGGGGAAACAACCCAAGAGTTAGAGAAAGCCTGCTCTCGGTGAAATAACAAAGCTAATGGGTTTCAAATGTGCTCTTATTTTAACACACTGCAAAAAAGGAACGGCTTTTATGATGTTTTTTAGAGATGAAGTATTGATCAGTGTGTTTGTTCCTTATTTCAAAAGGAATTAGTAATGTAAGCGATCAGCATGTACTTTATCTTCGACATTAGGATGACAGGATGAGTGTGTTTCAGCCGAGCAAAGACAGACAAGCGTGTACTCGGGGACTTTCTGCCCTCCAATGAGGATTTGAAGGAAACCCTCCGCTTGTTTCCAAACTTGTTCAACACAGAGACGGTGTTAACATGCTTTGTTCTAACACCAGAGCACAACCCCCGGTCCCCCAACTACCCCCACACACATACAGACCCCTCCTCCACCTCCATATCCAAACACTCCCCTTTCCAAGTTGAGTAAACCTGCTGAGCGGCAGTGGAGGGAGCTTGGCCCTGATTTCAGTGCAGTGGAGGAGCCGAGGGGCCCAGGGGACACTCAGGTTACCAGCATCGAATCCTGCAGTATTAGCAGGGCACAGTGAAATAACAGCCTGCCATCTGGAACCCATGTTAAAGCCATCTTAGCCTCGCAGCGTTCAATCACACTGACCTCAATTAAGTGTTATTTGTTCAGTATTTTTATTCACTTCTTCCTTTGCCTCCAGATCTGCGTGTCTCCTGCAGTAACGTCTGCTCTAACAAACTGTGTCAGATTGAGAGCCACGCCGAGAGTTTAGGTTTTCTTACCATGTCCTCTGCTCTGTATGAGATTTCCCATTAAACTTTAAGCAAGTCTGGCTCATAAGAGGTTTCAGCAGGGAGAGAGAGAGCACTTTAAGTGCAGGGGGATAAAGCTCGCTTTGTGCTGGAGAGATGCTGCGTGGTATGCCGGGTTAAGAGTGGGTGCTTTTTGGTGAGGCTTCATGCTCATGACTCTGTGGGGTCTTTCTTGACCCCACTTAAAGAGGAGACAATAAGCGCTGCACGTGAGCAGGTCTTCCTCTTCTGAACCTCATTTTCTTTGGTTTGAAGGGGAAATTTAATGAAACTTTTCTTCCTCGGCTGCGTTTTTAGCACAGTTATAATAAATACAGCACATGTTCTCTAAACCACCAGTTAGATACTGTCAGTCAAAGCTGGAAAATCTCCATGACGTTAAATGGAGAGAGTTGTGATTTTAAATATTACCTCTGAAAGTGGGGATGTGTGATTAACTCCTGCAGTTGTTCCTCAAACTCCTTGAGTCTCTGGTGCATTTTCCGCACCTCCAGTGAAGAAAAAATTACTCAAGTTAAAAGATCGATCTTTGGATTTTATGAATCGATTATTAATCATTTAAAGGGAAATCGATTAGAATGGACTGAATCGATTTTTTTAAACCCGCCCATTTATCGGCCTTTTCTCGTAAAGCCTGGTGCTGGTGTGGGATTGTTCAGTTTGTTTAATTTCAGATATGAGCTTGACTGGGAAGCCATTGTACCGACCTACAACCAATCAGATTAATCTAGCGCGGACAGCGAAATGCAATAGCAGTCATCTTGTTTGTATAAGATGCTCCTGCGTCATCATCTTATAGAACCCGACCATGTTTTATACACAGGATTGTAAACGGTCCAGTTTGTCTGACACCGAGGGGAAATCATCCTGAATGACAGCGGGTCCAGACCTACCTGCCAGCAAAAATCAATGCGAGCTGGCTGCTGGGTCTGGCAACGCCGGGCTAATGAAACTACGCTCCATATGGCGAAAATGGTATCCCAGAATTTAAGTGCAAAAGCTGTTTATGAACAAGTCTACATTTAACATTTAACAGTGTTTTGGCCAAATAAGATATTCAGTTTAATGGAAAATAAGCAGAACAGCTTAAATTATGGAGCCTGAGCGCAGACAATCAAACTCTGACATCCAGGATCCCAAACTCTGACATGAGTCCCTGCAGTTCTTAGACTTCATAAGAAAGTCCATTTTGATGCCTAAATAACCTCTCACAGATCAGATATGGTGTAGAGTGGCGGTCTTCTTCGTAGAGTAGATGTCTCTTTGGTTTTTCAAGTGAGGCAGAGTGTTTCAGTGTTTCAAGACGTTTACCCACAGGAACGCTTTCATCCTGTAGATTTCATCTTTTGATGAAGTGGATGTGATTAGACGCATAATCTCTTAATCAAGGTTTATCATTGACTGCTCAGCATCTGGTGACAAAGGATTTAAAGGTACAGTGTGTAGTACTCAGCAGCACTTAATAAGCAGCATATAAACATCATTTTGTTGTTATTTTTGAATAAGTCGTCTTAGTAGTTCTTTCAGGAATAAATACTGGTACATAAATTAATAAAAACATCTATGAAAGGCTGTTGGTCAGAGTGTACATGATGCATTTCTCCCATTGAGGAAGAATTCACAAATAATATGTTTGCAGAAGACGTTATAAGACCATGCTAGGTTTGCAATCGACTGATTCCTCCTGCTCCGCGCGATAACAAATTTCACATTGCAGCGACGGCCGTTATTAAGAATAGCTTCTCGCAGCTTTAACCATTCAGATTTGATACTTTTATGCTTTTCAGGTTTTTGTGCTTTCTTGCTAATAAAAATTTCATTGGAGCTCCAGAGGTCTAGTTTCTTCTTCATGCAGAAAAAATATGCAGGAAGTGAAAAAGAAAAAAGGGAAAGATGAAGCTTAGGGGGACGAAATAATGCTGCTATCCTAATGGCAGGGAGATAAAGTACAGAGGATTATTGGTGTTTCAGACCATGAAAATGTGAGTTTTGAAAGTCTCACATGATACCCACTTTTTTAAAATATTATATTTATTTGTGTACATTGAGCCATGTCTATCACCCGCACAGCAGTCCAAATGTGTCAGTGTAGTTTGAAAGAAATACCACCGTATGAGCGTCTCTCTCTTATCTGTGTTTACCTTTTGTGATGAGTGAGCACTGGTCAGAAATTGCCTGGTGCTCTGTGCCCCGCTGTCAGCAAGTCACAGTGCTGGTCAGGTGCCAGAGATGCTGCAAAGATGCAGACTGCTCAAGCTGAATTCCCTCCTAAATATGCAGCGCTATCAGTGACAGGTATCAACAGGAGAGTTTGCCTTTAATGGTCCAAGAGGCACGTCTCTGAGGATTTCGTAAACAGGTGACATGAGGAGCACAGCGAGGGGCTTCTGAGCGTGCTGTCACTTCCTGGTGCTTCCTGTTTGCCCAGATGTTCCTTCTGAAGCGCGGGTTATCAAAACCGGTGCAGCAGAGAGTTTGTGTTACACAAGTGTCAGTAGCTACAACACCTACGTGAATAAACACTATTGACACTAAATAATGCAGCGATTCGCAGCGTAGAGTCTGTGATTAGACATCCTGAAAAAAAAAGAAAAATCTCCGCTTTCTATCTGTACGTGAACTTAGCATTAAATAAGAGAGTGACTGTGTCTCAGCCTGTGTTGTTAGCATAAACCAAACAAGTACGCAGCTCTGAAAGCAGTTTACCCTTGTATCCATTTGGTTAATAGATCCATTAAGCAGCGTGGTGTGAGTAGAGTGCGGCTGCTGTGTGGAGCGCAGGATGACGTGTTAATCCTGGGTAATTTATTACTCTGGGTGTCGCTGAGCGAGGAGCCCCCCGATAGATCCCATCTCACCGGGATGGTCTTCAGCCGGGCTTCCATGGGGTATCGCCTGCTTAACAGCGACTCCAGCGTGCAGCACTCACATCCGCTGATGCAAGTATGATGTAAAAACCTGAGTGCAGGAAAACAACGGTGAGCTCGCACATGGTGATATTATATGAGAGCAGCAGTCTTTGAAGGAAGGAGGCTAAAAGCACACCTGTAGAGAGGGAGAGGGTAATCAAATTTCCCCCCGGTGTTATGGGCACTTGCTGGCTCTCATATGGTTTTTATTTATGGAAGTTTCCTTTTCTGTCGAGGGTCGGGTCCTGATTACATCATGGATGCTGATTGTGGCCTGGAGCTGTAGTGATCAATCCTAATTGACCCGGAGAATTACATTTATATATAAAGAAAGGCGGATGCAGTACCCTGCCCTGATAGATGAATTTCCCTTTTGTGCATCAACAATCAAGACACAACACATTTCTTTTATTTTGTTTCCTCCTGTTTTTTTTCAGAGCTTGCAACGTTGGGCTCACACTGGGGAATAAAAGCGGCATTAGAGGCTGATAGAAGATAAGCCAAAAAAAGAAATTGCAGAGGCAATCGTGCATAAGAGTTTTTACGAGCCTCAGCACTGTCTAATGTGCAGCCATTGGGATCACAGAGTGCAGACCTCTGGTGCCTTGGAGGCAGAGAGAGGGGATTGTGCAGGTCAACATAGCAGTGCCAAGCGGTACCCGTCAGCCATTTCATGTCATAATCAGTTAGGGGCAAATCAGCATGCACCAACTCTCAGCGCCCCGGGAAAATCCTCTCAGGATGCCTGTCTCACTCTAACACTGAAAAGACGGCGAAATGGATTTCATTCTTCCTGCTCCACGATGGGGATTTCTCTGTACGTGGGGATGTGATGCTCTGCTTTGTGATCTAGAAAACAGGCACAGTGTGTTTACAGAGACCACTGCAGCAGCCACGCCTTCTCGACATAGCATCCTTACAGCCGGTGCCGCTGTCATCCAGTCGATGATGAAGCTACAGAGTGATTAGCCCCACCCAGAGGCTGTTGAGATGGGAGATGTGGGAGGTGTGTGGTTGTCAGAGCAGGGCTTGCAGAGATGACTCAGTTAGGCACTTAAAGTCAGATCATTACCATGCAGGAACCCTCTGTCTTTCTTTGCTGTGTGTGCTGATTTTTTACTGTTGATATTGAACAGCTACTGGTTTTTACTGCCTTCACAACGCAGTGGTGCTTTCTGCTTGTTGTGCATGACACTATCACATAGTAACCCTGTTCAATTTTTTTTTACCGGCCATATTGGCTGATTCGTCTCGCATGGACCAGCAAAGATCCATGTTATTACCATTGGGAGGTAACTATATAAGTCAAGGTTATGTGAGTAGTTGACTCTTTTTTATGACAGTCAAACACGACCTCACATTGTATATTTCACTTTGATGATCCTATTGGAAACTCACTGGTGAGTGTAATCAAAGTATATAAAGTTCAAGTTTATATCTTTATTCTGACTGAGTTTCACTTCGGTGTTAAAAAAAGTAGTGAAAAAAAGGAGAGTCTGAACGTCTGAGGAAGGAACTCACTCCTGTGACTGTGGCGGCTGGTGATCGAAGGACCTTACCAAGTCTGTGATCTTCCCAGTGCACTTCCCCGCTCTGGGCCTATACAAGATCTGTATCTCAAGGAAAATCTCAGGACCCCCATTGTGTGTGGATTGTAATTGGTATCTAGCAGGAGGACTGCACCACTTTTCACACTTCCACTCATAGGTGCTCTTTAGGAGGGAACACTGTCCATTTATCGGCCTTGCCTTCGTGGCAGTGTATGAATAGAGGAGCAGAGTGGAGGATTTTCTTTGGCTGTTGAGACCAGATGAAGTCTAAGTGGTCGCATTTTGGGGGGAAATATATCTGGCATGGTCTGATGGTCCCTGAATTAAAGTGTAGAGCCACATCAGAACCTTAAACTATTTTGGTGCATTTGGAGGATTCATGTTGAAGTTCTTCTTGGTTTATAGAGGCAGTTTACATCTGGATCTGAATCTGTGCAGAGAAGTAACATCCAGTTTCTGCATCCACAGGTGAACTGGAATCTAGTTTGGCCCAGTCTGTAAGCAGTCTGGGGTTACTGGGTTGCATCTGTAAGCTGAGGTGAAGCTTGTTCTCTTTTCCTCCACATAATTGTTGTATTTCTTTTAGGGCTGGGCGATAAACCGGAAATTTACCGATACCGAAATTTACGACAATAACCAACGTCGTTTTGTCCATGTCGGTATATTCAGTGTCAGAAAAATAAATAACTAAAAGTTGGTTTTGGATGCGAGTTGTTCAAGTTGTCAGACAGTGACAGAGCTTTATGTCTGTTTGGATTATATCACTGTTTATTTCTGATGCATGTTTTATAATTCGCTTTATTAACTGAATTATGATGATTTTACACTTACATCAGTGTCACATTATTAGATATAATTCACATAGGCTTCTATCCAGTTAACTGCAGGATCATTAAGGTCTAATTGCATCAGTGACTCATTTAGTAAATACTGGATTTCAGAGGAACTGCAAACATTTAATTTCACCTTTAGATTAAATTTCAGTTGCGTGACAGTGACCTGCTCTGTCTGCTGGAGCATCTGTCAGGGCTGAATAGAAAACTAATAAACACTAAGATCTCACTTCATTTAGATCCTCCATTAAGTGGTTTACACAAAATTGGTCAATACATTGCGAGCATTTATTTTATAATTTAACAAGGCAAGTGACATTGATAAAGCAGTTTGTTTATGAAGCGTCAGATAAAAGGCTTTTCAGTGAGAGGCAATTACGCTGAAATATGAAGAGAATAAAAACTCTAGGATCCACTTTCAGTAATATTTGTGCAACTTTAGGGAGTTTGAATCAGCATGAAATGAAATGTTTGCATCTCTAAGACCCAGTGAAGCAAATACAAGCAAAAATAAAAGGAGAGGCTAATTCTGTGTATTTATTTTTAATATCTGAAACCATGTGGGGACATGGGGTAGGTTTCCGACTAAGTGATCAAAGCTGCAGGAGCTGGAGAACTGCCTCGTCCAAGTTGGCACAAACCAAAGTTCCTCACAGGTTATAAATAAAATTGAACGTATAACATATCTTTTCTCATCCACTGTAATTGTAAAACCAATATACCAGGTTATGTCATTTTGTTTCAATGTATTTCCAAGGAGAAGAAGAAAAAGGAGGAAACAGCTTTGCTGCCAAGGAGCGGACGAGTGAAGCAGCGCCGCCGTAATAACAGCTTACCTCCCTCATTAGCTTGTAATTATGCATTTAAAGGAAACAGTGGTGCCATCTACTAAACAAATCTCACAGAGTGCTTGTTTGATTGAAGCGACTCCTCAGTTTGAGGTAAATGAATAAGCAGAGTCTCGCACAGTGGAAACAGTCTGTACCTCACAAATGCTTCTGAGCTCAATGACAGCAATAATAATAACTTTATTTATATTATATTGTATACTTATATTATTTATATTATTATTATATTATATTTATACTTCTGTTTATTTATATTATTATATTTATTTATGTTATATATTTAAAAACATATGTACAAAGTGCTTTAATGGAAGAAGCAAAAAAAAAGGCAGAAATAGACAAAGAAACATGGACTCTTAAAAAATGGACAGTTAAAGAAGGTGGATAGGAGACAGATAAAAGAGGAGGAGAAATAAATACAAAGATAATAAAATAAGGTAAAATAAGAGTAATAATAAAAAGAGAGGGAGTATATTAAAACGAGAATATGTTAAAAACAGGACAATACTACTACTACTACTACTACTACCACTAACAATAATAATAATAATAATATTAATAATAATGACTGACAAGGTTATACAGGAGGTATGCAGGCAATAAAATAAATTAATAATAAATAAATGAAGAGTAACAATGAAAAGGGAGGTAGTATACTAAAACATACAAAAATGTTACAAACAGGACTACCGTATTTTTCGCACTATAAGGCGCACCTGATTATAAGGCGCACCATTGATGAACGCGTCTATTCGCATCTATTTTCATACATAAAGTGCACCGGATTATAAAGCACATTAAACCAAACAAAACAGTCAGATAAGTCAAACTTCAATTAACTCACTCAATAACTCAGTGAGGCTACGGTAGCTGCAGTGCTCCGACAAGCTAAACGGATTTTAAGTGGGCCTTATAGTGCTAAAAATAGGGTAATAACAATAATAATAATAACAACAATAATAACGATAATAATGATTAGAATAATAACTGACAAGGTTAAACAGGAGGTATGCAGGCATTAAAATAAATGAAAAAAATCATGCATCATGTAAAGTCTAAAAAGTGTAATATCTTACTTACTTAATATCTTACTCTTAGTGTAATGTTTGCTAACAGGACAGCAAAACAGTTTAGCAAAACTGTTAGCTTAAGGGATATCAAAAACATACATTACTTGAAAGCAGATTTTATGATGAGTTTTGGTTTCATATTGAATCAAGAATTAAACACAAATTTTTGCTTAAACCTGACAGAAGGTACATTAAAAATATGGAAGAAAGCACAAGCTCCTCGAGTAAACAAATCCAATTTGCTAACTTAATAGCGGTCCTTGACTTGTTATCAATATTGAATTTCCCATTATGAGTTTCTTGGTTAAGTCAGTGATAGGATTATGGACCTTTAAGCTACAGGATGTGTGTACTGAGTCAGGAAACTGCTGGATGAGTGGTCACTATCAACAGTGGAGGGACGTTGTTTTTGCTGTCCTGTAAATGTAAAACAGCGCCTATCTGAAATCTTAAAGTCTGCTATCAGAAAACTTGCCATATGCAACAGAAGTAATTTACATTCAGTGAAAAATGTGTTTTTGTAATCCACTGAACTCCCCTTAAGGGTTTACACAAGCACATCAACTATTTTTGTTCAGAGGATTATTTGTTTGCAGCAGCATCTTAGTCCCATATATCATCCTCAGGCTACAGCTTCAAACCTCAAACATTAGTTACACAGCCAGTTTGACAGTAGCAAGTTTACATTCAGTTGATTATTGCTTAGCTGGTATTAGGTTTGATTTGACTGCGGGCCAAACTATAAATCAAAATCAGGTCTGGCCTTTGCAGGCTAATGAGCGTTAATCGCAGACTAATGAGAGACAGGTCATCACCGGGCTGACCTCTGCACTCACCGGCTAGGCTTGGGAACAGAGGCACTTCAGCCAAGTGGGCAGGCTCTCATTTAGACCTGCATGAATTTTGCATCAGTTGCATTGGAGTACCACAGTGAACCCTTAAGAGTAATCTCATATAATAAAGTATATTATAGTATCCTATATTTGAATAATTCATCTGCACCAAAACTGTCGCGTCAGACCAAAAACACTCAAATGTCTTTCTATGGTGTAGCAGCAACACTGATAATGGGTAAGTAGACGCTTCAGCCCGACTTAGTTCTGCAAACATTTTGCTGTATTTGGCCAAGGTCAGGGTTATACATCAGTGCAGAAAGAGAATAAATAGACTGCATCTCCCTGTTATTTACCAGCCTGGTTTAATAGCATTATTCCATTGCCTGCTCTCTCTGTCAGGAGTAAACCTTGAATTGCCTCTAGTGATTAGTAGCAGGGAGCGTGCTGCAGCAGCAGTCCCAGGCTACCTTTGTTTATGTTAAGGCTTTTACGCATTCTGTTTTACTCGCTGGCGGGGAGAGCTTTTGATCCCGGAAGGAGGCGGCTGCTGAGACGGCCCACCACCACCACCAGCACCACTGTGCCCCCACCCCAGCCTGTATTATTACTACGGAATTCAGATCTGTTTGGCAAGCCATTGAGCCCCCCACACCATCTACCCGAGTCTTTCTCCCCCCTATTGAATACACACCTTTCTGTTGACCAAGGAGGCTTTTCTATAGAGCGCAGGCATGTGAAAGATTTCCAGAATAGGAGTAAGTGGTGCCTGCGTGGAGCTTTCCTTCCACTCAATAGACCTTGTAGACAATGTTCTTGATATCTGCCCAAATTTCCTCTCTGTGGCTCTACAGCCGGCTTTTGTGTGAATATATTTGTCTGTAAAACTGCAAGTAAACTGCCATCGATCTCCTGACTGTGAGATTAGCTAACAAAAAAAAGAGCTAAAAGATTTAAAAAACTTTACTTGACACCTATCTCTATAACACATTATAAATGTATGTATTATATGCTATAGTTATAAACACTCATAAATTATCATAATGCTTTATTGCAATAATCATAACACATTATAAAGAACTTAATCATGACTTACAAGGTCAGGTATTATAATGTGTTATAACTGTTGATAATGATAGTTATACAAGTTTATAAGCTAATTGTAACACATCATAAATATATGTTTCATGCATTATCAGTAACACTTTAAAATAACCATTATTTATAAATGGCAAATAGATAGTTTATTAATGTAAGTTAATAGTTATTTTACCATAAAAAAGCAATAAAATTATGATTAATAGTTTTCATTAATTATTAATGGACTATATATTGAAGGGTTATATAGGGTTTAGATATTGGTTATAAAACATCTAGATTAAAATGTGTGTCAGTCACACTTTGTAAGTGGTGAATATTTAGTTATTAAACCGTCTATAAATATTACTCAGATAGTCATTGTAAAGTTGCAACTGATGTCTGCAATACTTTGTAAATGATTAATAAGTGGTTTATAAACATTACTTCGATGGTTCTTGTAAAGTTAGGGTTAGATTTTTAAAATTATTAAAATTAACAATTTATTAATGGTCTTTATGTTATTTATAATTGATGATTAAACATTAATAAACTATCTGCTTGCCATTTAAAAATGGTCTATTTACCATTTATAAGTGATGGTTATTGTAAAGTGTTACCGTATTATCTATGTGGGTATTGTCAGTGAGTTGTTAACAGTTATAACACATTATGACCTTGTAAGTCATGATAAAATGCTTTATAATATGTTGTGATTAGTGCTATAAAGCATTATGATCATTTATGAGTGTTTATAACTATAGTTAAACAGGCATTATACATATTTATAATGCGCTATAGAGATAGGCGTCAAGTTAAGTGCTACTAATGTTCCCCCACCATTGTATCATTACTGTACCCTTACATTCACAGATAGAGATACATAACTTGACATTTTTAGGTTATATGTATTGATTTCCGTTGTTTTTTTCCTGTGATGATGTTGACATTTACATGCTCATTCAGATTTAATTGTACAACCAAATCTTTAGAAGGTCTCCGTAAAGTAAAAAGCTCATGCACTCTTTCTAAATACGTGTAAAAATGTCATCATTAATCAGCTACACATTATGTCTCATGCTTGGAAATAATAATCAGTCATTATAGTTTAAGTGATTAAGTGATTTCACAGACAAGTAATCCTCGATTGTGCTGTATTGTACCCCAGGGCTTTCTCAAACATGTTATTTTGTCTCCTCTCTGTGTTGCTGAATAATGTGAGTTTGTATTTAACCTTGATTCTGCATGGAAAATCTGCAGTGTGTTAAGAGCAGCAAGTGGTAAATTCTCTTTGAAAACAAGGTTGTGTGCAGCTAGATTTATATGCAGCGGCTCTGAATAGCAATCCTCAGCACACTGCTAATTGTTTGATGGATTGTACTGAGCCATTTGCATTTATATTGTGCTCCAGACACCACCCACGTGTTTAGATCCCATATTTAACTAACTCCTGACACTGAAGCAACGGTCACAACGATCTGCCCACTAAAAACCTCAACTAGCGTTTTAGCAGGGGCTCCTGTACCAACCTGTTCACACTGTGGGTGCTATTTTTATGGGTTAGTTTGACAGATTTTGTGTGGTGTAAAAGGGCTGCAACCTCACGGAGCAATTCCTCTGATGTTTCACCCTTCTCACACTTTTAAGCCCTCACAGTTGTCTTCTAAAGAGTTACCTGGTTTCGGAGGATTAAGAGTTATTCCGTTTTGATGAAACACGAAGAGGAAATAACCCTGCAACACTTCAGCACACTGCGAATCTTGCCGGTGATGAGTTGGTTCATCCCGTATGACTAAAAAATATGTCGGAATCCACTTTAGATGGAGGAAGCTTGTGTTTTGTTAAAGCACTGACTAATGCTGCATTTGGGGTTAGTCATTTGAGTGCAGTCTAAACAGCGCGACTGGACTAGAGGCCGCAAAGAGCTTTGTGACAAAGATGCTTAAAACCAAAAAAAAAACGTTTTATAACAGTAAAGTCTGGGAAAAAATGACCCTTTTGATCTTCAACAGAGCAGGTCATCTTGAGGTTAAGAATGGTACTGAAGGTTTTTAAGATGGTCGAGGTTTTTATTTTTGTTCTCACAAGAAGCGAGGGTCTATTCTTTTTGCTCATTTATAGGACTGGGCGATAAAGCCTAAAATTAAAATCTCAAATGTGAAAAAATGAAGAAAATCGAGTCGTATTTTCAAAGTGGAATCAAAGAGAGAGAAGAAACTGGTGAGAGAAATGTGGTTAATTGAGGCTTGCTAGTGATGGGCACGGCAGTTCTTCTACATGTACTGAATCACTAGAATCAGTTTACTAAAATGATTCGTTCGAAAGATTCATTCACCGAATCTCTGAATCATTCAGTGTTTGGTGGGAGAAGCCTGCGACTCCGACCTCCTGAAATGATACACGGCTGAACGGTTCAGGATTCAGTTTAATTCAAAGCTTTATGCTTGTTTTATGCTGTGTCCTATTGTATGCAAGTTGTTGTGGCAATTTAGCAGTGAAAAAAAAGGTAGTTTTGTCCGACAAAAATGATTCCAGAGAGTGTAGTTCAATGTGTGATTCGTTTACCAAGTGATTCAGGCGTTGATGCATGCGGTCCCTTGTTTCCCGGCTGCTCGCTTGGCAATGCCGCGTGCTATGGCAGCTGTGCTTCTGACAGCTCGACTAAAGTGAGAAACGAACGAATCACTTGAGGAAGTGATTCGGTTCAGTGCATTCACTTAAAAGATTCGGTTCTTTTGAATGAATCATTCACAAACGACACAACACTAAGGGTTCCAAGAGGCCTTATGATGGCACTGTGTCTACATGTATGAGTGCACGTGTGTTACTGTGTCATTTTTTCACTACGAGCTCCTTGTTAAAAAGCTAATCATACAGCCCTGTTAAGGCTGTGTAGCACAAACTTGGGTCGATAGTTTTAAGCATGTGAATTAATCAAGACTTTTCCCGATGCATACATGATCACTGGATCTTTAATGATGTGCAGCAGGACTGCATCAATAAGAACCCTAAATAAATTGTGCTGCTGACTAGTTTGATCGAGGCCTGAGCAAACTCTTCTTCATTACCACTGGCGGCCATGTTGTTGTTGTTGTTGTTTGTGTTTCTGTAGGTTTCTGAAACTCTGTCTGGTAACTTCATCCGACACATTTAACTGTTAATCAGAGCTGTGGTACATCTACTCAACAGACTGAGACAGACGAACCCTCCAAGTTGTAGACAATGCGACTGAAAATGTAGAGCTTGCAGGTGATTAAAACGATAAAACAGAGCATCCATCATTTCCTTTGTCCGTCCAGAGAGACTGAGATTGATTTTGGATCATTGCAAAGATCTGCGGTCCGCTTCTTTTTGGCTCAGCTCAAGTTCTGCAGCCCGGGTCTTCACAGCAACTTTGTCTTTGAAATAAAAGCGTGTGATTGTTATCTCCGTGACAGAGATTTCAATCTAAGGCAGCAATTTTTCACTGGTCTTTGTCAATAACTTTCCTGAGTCTTTGTGAACGTACCCTCATTAACCTTCTTCTTTAGTGTTTCAAGCTGCCTCCTCCAGAAGTCCCTGGTGTCTTACTATGAGATGAAAATAAGCGTTAAAAATAGCCCCACCACTTCTTACTTCTGTTTCTTAATCAGCGATGAGACACCGCGGTTAAACAGAGCTCTCTGTTTATCATCCTCTCTCGCACTAGTACATTAATTCAACATAACAGTGGCATTTTCTTTGTTTTGGCTCTTTTTCTCAGGATTTAGATGTAGACAGATGAACAAGAACAACAGCTTTGCTTTGTGGCGCTGGAACAAAATGATAATGCCAGATGTAGCCTATTTATGAAGAGCAGCGCTGCTTAGTTTCCAGCGCGCTTTGTGTGAAAACTCTTGACAGCTGTGCTGAAGGTAAATACGTTTTTTGGGACCTACATTTGCATCTCATGTCATCTGTCATTGTACGTTGCCTGTTGCTTCTCTGAAAAAGTCCTCTGGGTTTCCCATGGTCTCAAAGGTGCATGTCATCGCATACCAGCCGATTAATAATGAGAAGGAAGGAGCTGTACAGAAGAGCACTGAGCCCACCTCTTTTGGAAACAAAAACAATGCACTTTACAGGACATTCTTCAAACTTTACAAGGCTGGGTTCGCTCCCCCATCTCTTACATTTGCATAGCATCAAGAGTCTTGAGTAAAAAGGTAGAAATTAGCAACCCATACAAGCTGCGTCCAAAATCTCGGGAGCAGCTGAAGTGCTCTTGCGGCTGCAGAGTGGGAGCGTTTTCTTCCCCCCCATGTGGCGGAGGTCCTGCTATTGAGGCCCCTAGTCATTAATCACTGGGATCTTTTCAGCTGTCAATACATACAAAAAGAAACCCCAAAACCCAACAATGGTGTCTCCAATAGAGAGTTTTCTTCATGCAGGGGCAAATATAGTTCACTAGGGATTATTGTTTACTGTTCAGTCCGGCACAAATCTCATACAGTATTCATAAAGAGCTTATCTTGTGGAAAAATCCTTGTCTGAACAACACAGGCATATTGTCAATATAAACTCCTAAAGATTTGCCAGGAGTGGTTTTTATCTCTTTCCCAAAAGGCTCTTTTTTCATCCTTATAGGAAAATACTTTTTTAAGTGTGGGAGCATGTTGTGCAGACGTAAAATTTGCCCCACGGATGACAAAGCTTTCGTTTATCACTTATCATGATGAAATTTCTTGGAGGAAGCCGGAGAATGATATATTTTACAACTGCAGCGGTATCCGGCTCACTAATTCTCTCAGCCCAGTAATTGAGCTTCAAAGTAAACAGTGACCAAGCCTTTAATCATCTTTATATCCACATTGACAAATGTTAATCCTGCTCAATATCTTAAACCGTGTGGCCCGCTTGGAATGAAGTGTTTGTGATGTTGCACCAAAAAGGGCGAATCCTACTTATCATTTCATATCTTTCCTGTTTGTTTTCAAAATGCAAAATACAGAAAACAACAATTATTTCTGACTATCTTTGGAGTTCTTTTAATTGCATGTTTCCTTCTGTTACTTCAATATTTTGTCCTTCAAGGTGAGAGAATAAAGTGCAGCAGCACATCACCAAATGCCTCAGTTCCCCTCTCTCCGTATTGATCTTGTAGTCGGGGTGATATTTGACAGTTGGGGTTTTATGTTTCAGATTTTAATCATCTCTGCCGGTTCAGTGTACTCCTAGATTTGTTTGCCTCCTCACTTTTCAGATGGCGATGATTTGTAACTTATAAACAACACAACTCATGGAAGGACACCTGCCACTTTTACAGATGCTGGGGGCCCGGCGTTTCTATACGACACATAAAACAGAATATTTGCGGGGGACTTGCACCGTAAACTTTATAGGTACAAGATTTGTTGTGCCATTTTTTATTAAATCTAATCCGGGTGGTTTCTCATGCTCTCCCCGTGTGTGCTCAGCAGTGCGTACGCCGCTGCTCAGAAACCTGCATTTGCATTTTATTTATTTTCCACACTTGCTTGGTTAGCTTGATGCTTATGTGTGAAAGTGAGAGAGAGGAGTTTGTGAAGGTTATTTCTGATATTTTTAAATGTTCCTCTCGTTTAATTCATACCTCTTAAATTTCAGTTCATCATCAGTAATCATTGTTGCTTTTTCCTTTTAATTCACGAGGCGTCCTTTTCTTTTCTCTGTGTGTTTGATTTTCTACAGAAGCACCCAAATTAAACTGGAGTTGTCACCCACATTTGATGCTGAAAATAGCGCGGAGGCAGCCATGGAAGTGAAGGAACGCAGACCCTACCGCTCACTCACTGCCCGGCAGGACACAGAGCGCCGTTACACCAGCTCCTCTGCAGATAGCGAGGATGGAAAGCCTAACCCCAAATCTTACAGCTCCAGCGAAACCCTCAAGGCCTTCGACCATGACTCAAGGATGGCTTACGGGAGCCGTGTCAAGGAAATGGTTCATCACGAGGTGGACGAGTTCAGCCGGCAAGGTTAGCTTTTGCTGTGCTAATATTAGAAACATAATGCTATTATGAGAGTGCCATTGATATATCTGAGCTTATCTTTAAGTGTATTAGCAGCGAACAATGACACAGTGAAACTCTGGTGATCGAGTTAAAGCCACATTTCTGCTGCTCTCGATGTATGCATCATTTCTTTTTAATGAGAAACCTCATTCAGATTCAGCGGCTGTAGAGGTCACGCCGCATTGTTTGACTATTAACAGAGGTGGCCGAGGATTGAACTTCACCATGCCAGTGTTAAAAACTGCATGGAAGACATGCATACCATTACCTGCTTGTTCAAATATATTATTGATCATCAAAGTTCAAATGAGATGTGATGGTACACTGGGGGTGCAGGGTAGGGTGTTTTGATAATTTGCAATAATGATGACTCAGGTTTAACCCTTTAAAGTCCCACTCTGATCGGTGTTTTTTACTACTTAAACTGTGATTATGAAGTTTTTAGCCAAAATCACATTACCTGTGTCATTTTAAGGACTTTTCTTCTGTAGAGCTCCAGTAGCTCATTAGCAATTCGCCTCTAAGTCGTGGGCGGAGACAGCGCTGCTCTGCACACGCCTCTTCATGCTAGCCTAGCATTGAAGTAGCAGGTAACATAGGAGCTGTTCAGCTCTCAGACACTAATGTCTTTGGGGACATGATGAAAGTTAATGTCATAATTAGCTTTCTTACGCACACGCTTATTCGGCGATCGTCCTCTCTAATTTTCCGACTATGGCTACGGGGGCGGAGCTGAGATTTGCCACGAAGGAATTCTCACTGTATCGAACACCCAATTTCCACCACATCCAGAGCGGCTATAAAAAGGCTGTATCCGCCAATCATAGCTGATGGTAACCATTCAAATTAATGTGTAAATTTCCACCGGCTTCTTTCCGTTTCGCTGCGGATTGCCAGACTCCTCAGCTGATCGCAAGAGTTCTATTTTTTCCGGACGCCGGAGCATGGCAGATAAATTCAGCACAGATTAACCTGTGCTGGAAAGGAAGTTGGGCACAGACACAAAATAAAACATCCGACTTCTTTTCAAAATAAAACACTTTATGTTTCAGGAGGATCGTATTTCACACCATGCAAACGGGCGGCGACGAACAAGTGAAAGGTTTATAGACGTCATTTCACCCCGATGACACCATGGATGAGGAGATGCTGATTCTAGAAGTAGATTTCCTCCTCTGGAAGGACACGATCTTGCTTTTATGGTTAGCCTATGTGGCTAGAGACAACTCGTTATCACACGATTGCATGTAAATCCGCAGGATCTTGTAAGTTCTCGCTATTCCTGCTAAGCGTACTCCGCCACGAAATTCACCTCACCAACAGATCTGGTAGGAGTTGGCAGAGAGAGCAGTTCTGGATGTGGTGGAAATCCCGGGTGAGCCTGCCGTTTGGGTCTGCCAGAGATTCACAGCAAATACTCAGATATACAATTTTGCACTTAGTTTCTCATGATATGTCCTGTAGCATCAGAAAAATGAACATATGAACATGTAGACAACAAGAAAAACATGATTTTCATCAGAGTGGGTCTTTAATGGTGCACAGAGGAAAGGAAACACCTATTAAGCCTTCAGAAAATCACCTCTAATCACTTCAGGAGACAAGAGGGTGAAAATGAGGAGAGAAATGAATCATCTGAAACATTTAGTGACCGTTTGTTTCTTATAAATAACACAGAACAGCCACCTTAGATAAATCCTTCAACCAGAGGATTCAAATATTTCCACTTTGGTTTGAAACCCCAAAACTAATAGTTATCTTAAGGTCAGATCATCTGTTCAGTGGTTAAAATGGTTCATACTGAAGGATACTGTCAGCGACATGTCCAATCACCGGTCTTGTATTTATTTTTTCGCTTCACAGGGGCAGACTTTTCCCTCCGAAACCTCGGCTTTGGAGAAGCGCTGCCGTCCCACGTGGCCACATACAGGACTGACCTAGGGATGCCGCACCGCGACTACTCAGTCAGCGTGGGCTCGGATGCAGACACGGAGACAGACGGCATCATGTCTCCGGAGCACGCGGTCAGATTGTGGGGCCGCAGCAACACCAAGTCGGGCCGCAGCTCGTGCCTCTCCAGCAGAGCGAACTCTAATCTAACGCTCACTGACACCGAACACGAGAACACGGAAAACGGTAGGTCACTTTTTTACTCCTCTCTGCTAATTGGGAAAGCTGACATTGAGTCTGTTTGGATGTGGATGTGGTCGGTTACTGAGATGGACTAGTTTGTGGTACACGTGAAGATGATCGTCTTGTGTTAAAGTTTTGTCGTGAAGTTGGTATCAAAACGATGAGCTGTCTTTGCACACTCCAGGAATCATGTCGATCACTACAGTTTCCCACATTTTTGCTAAATGTTGTCAGTCGTCCCACTCAAGACAGACACACTCAGGATTTGGCCTCTTGAAGGAGACAATTACCAGCTTTTGAGCCTCTCCACAAGTGCATGCTGTTCATTTTTCACGTGTCTCCTTCCTCTTGTCTTCCTTCGTACAATTTGTGAATCATGGTGTTTGTGTCTGGCAGGTTTTTTTGTGTGAAATCAGTGCCAAGAAGTGGGATGCTATATAAATTGTATTAATCTTCCTGTGGCTTGGTGTTTTGCCCAAGGCCCAGACGAGCCTGTATGCTCGTTCAGAAGGTCACTCGAGCACAGGGAATATGTATCTACGAGCCATGTCAAGTGCTGGAAAATGCCAGAAGATAATAACAGTTCTGCTGAAGATGCCGTTATTCAAATCGTGTGATTAGTGAGCCATAAATTCATGAGAACAGTTTGGGAACAAAAATGCCGTTTGGAAATTCAGATCAGCTCCCAATTGCCCGTTTGTTGGTAAATTCGGTTACATCTTAGTAATCGCTTTGATGGCGTGTACACAGCGAGTACAAGCTCTCTGTGCAGTGTGGAGGGAGTCTCTGACAGACAGGTTTCCTTCGTTCTCCTCTGAGCCCCCCGCTCCGCCTGTAACGCCCTCTTCAGGCAGCATTTTTCACACAAGTTTTATTTGTATATTCCGTGCAGAAGAATTAAAGTTCTGTTGAGCACAAACCAAAATCATGCATGTAACTGGCAGATTTATGATCCTGTTCCCAGGATATTTCAGAGATAGAGGAACTCATCAAGGGCCTAGCGGCAAAATTCTAATTGCCCTGCACAGCCTTCCCGAGAACCTTGTGAATAGTTTTGCATTTCAGAGTGTGTCATATTATGTATTAGCTTCTTATTATAACTGACAGAAATGACTCTTGGAAGTGGAATCCATTTGCCCGAATGACTCAGGGAGAGAGCGTGGCATCCCTCTGCTTGATCATCTGAGATGCCAGGGGACTTGAATTTGGCTGTATTGTACATAATTAAAGAGAATCTCCTCAGATGGCTGTTCGGGGCTCGGTATGCGGGAATTTATTCAGAGCACCCGTTGCTGCATCATCATGCTACATCTGTGAGACCCAACCGAGATTATAAGTAGCTTTTTATTCAACTCAGCCAGGCAGAAAGAGCACTTGTATTCAGCATTTAATTCAGTAATGCCTGATAACATGCAATTTATATATGGCAAGTTAATTAAAATCCATCGAGCAGGCTTGCTTGTGTGTGCTTTAATCTCTCTAAATCAACAAACCATTTACTCGGCTTTAATGTATTCAAGCTGCTGGGCAGTTCTCCCCCTCTTCACATGTGACTTACTTGACCCTGGTTTTAATGCATGCAAATAAGCGATAGTGATTTGGAACAATTTTCTCGATGCTCAAGTGATTCTGAGGCATCGAATAAATCCCAGGAATAGGTACCCGTGCTGATAATAACTGGCTATATTCAAAGATTTATTCCAGCTGTGATATGGAGATAAAACCGGTCCCTATTTTTATTGATGCTCTATCCTACATGGGGATGATGGGCGGAAGAGTAACAAGTGAAAACACAAGTCATTATGTAAACTAATTGTATCCCTATAGACTGATAAACTATTTAGACTCTCTATCACTCTGGGGAATTGGTTGAGTAATTACATCAACCGCTAATTGTATGTGAGTGTGTGTGTGTGTGTGTGTGTCGTGTGCAGACATGTAGGCGCATTTGTGTTGGTTGGTGCTTAAAATGCGCTCATGCAGTGTGTGTGCATAGGTATGTGTGTGTGTGTGTGTCTCTTACCCAGCATGCCTCTGGTCCCTAGGGAGCCCCTTGAGGACACCTCCAGCAGCTTGTGACTGCTGAGTCATTGCACATCCTACCGAGGCTGAACAGCCAGCAGGCCAGCCCAGCCTGCTGGGTTTGGGAGAGGGCTGCTGTTCGTGGGCTGTACCCCATTAAAGTTTATCCAGATGTGTGCTCTAATCCCAGCTGCTCCCACCGTCATGGCCTGACTATAACATTTCTGTCACCGTGAGGAGCCGGCGCTGGAGATAGCCACAACAGCCTGCAGAGGGATTTTTGTTTTTCATGTGTTCCATTACCTGCAGAGAAATATGATTCAATGGGGCCTATGTGGTCGAAAAATGCTTGTCTGACTGAAACTGGAGCTTTTGTACCAACGAATTATCATGAATGGCACTGGAAGGTCAGTTATGAAGTAATTATGACGCAGAATTGCAGTTCACTCTATTATAGTATAGATTGTTGTGGTAGAAATGGGCCGTAATTGGACGACATTGACTTGTAGGGAAGATTATTTTTTATTAGTGCTTATT